CACCTTCCACTTCCCAGCTCGCTGCAGCCTGGCCTGGGACACATCAGGGATCCATCCAGGGGCAGCACGGCTGCTCTGGGAGTTCTATTCCACCTCAGCATCGCCCTCAGATCAGCATCACCCTCACCTCAGCATCGCCCTCAGATCAGCATCACCCTCACCTCAGCATCACCCTCACCTCAGCATCATCCTCACCTCAGCATCACCCTCACCTCAGGATCTCCCTCAGAATCTCCCTCAGCTCAGCATCTCCCTCAGCTCAGCATCACCCTCACCTCAGGATCGCCCTCAGAATTTCCCTCAGCTCAGCATCTCCATCAGCTCAGCATCGCCCTCAGCTCAGCATCACCCTCACCTCAGCCCCTCACCTCAGGATCTCCATCACCTCAGGATCTCCCTCATCTCCATCAGCTCAGCATCTCCATCAGCTCAGCATCTCCATCAGCTCAGCATCTCCATCAGCTCAGCATCTCCATCAGCTCAGCATCTCCATCAGCTCAGCATCTCCATCAGCTCAGCATCTCCATCAGCTCAGCATCTCCATCAGCTCAGCATCTCCATCAGCTCAGCATCGCCCTCAGCTCAGCATCACCCTCACCTCAGCATCTCCCTCAGAATTTCCCCCAGCTCAGCATCTCCCTCAGCTCAGCATCTCCCCCAGCTCAGCATCTCCCCCAGCTCAGCATCTCCATCAGCATGTCCCTCACCTCAGGATCTCCATCACTTCAGGATCTCCCTCACCATTTCCCTGACCTCAGGATCTCCCTCACCTCAGGATCTCCCTCAGCATTTCCCTCACCTCAGCACCCCTCAGCATCTCCCTCACTTCAGCATTGCCCTCAGGATCTCCCTCACCTCAGGATCTCCCCCAGCATCTCCCTCACCTCGGGATCGCCCTGAGCACCTCCCTCACCTCAGCATCTCCCTCAGGATCTCCCCCACCTCAGGATCACCCTCACCTCAGGATCTCCATCACCTCAGGATTTCCCTCAGCATCTCCCTCACCTTAGGATCTCCCTCAGCATCGCCCTCACCTCAGCATCGCAGTCACCTCAGCATCGCACTCAGGATCTCCCCCACCTCACCATCACCCTCACCTCAGCACCTCCCTCACCTCAGCACCTCCCTCAGCATCTCCCTCAGCTCAGCACCTCCCTCACCTCAGCAACTCCCTCAGCACCTCCCTCAGCTCAGCATCGCCCTCACAATCTCCCTCAGCTCAGCACCCCCCTCAGCTCCCTCATCTCCGCCCCGCGCTCACCTCAGCGCCCCCCTCACCTGCACCCCCGCTGTCTCCTCAGCCCCCTCCTCACCCCAGCGCCGCTCCCCTCGCCGCCATCCCCCCCCGTACCGGACTCCTCGTCCTTTTTATCGAACTTCTTGATCATGGCGGCGCCGCTCCCGCTCCCTGCGAGCGCCGCCGCCTCCGCAGCCCCGCCGGAAGCCCCGCCTCCGGACCGCTCTCTGGCATCTGATTGGGCATCGGCGCTGTCAATCAATCAGGTATCCTGTCCCCTAGCCAAGCCACGCCCCCACCCGCGCGCTGAAGGGGCGGGGCCAGAGTGAGGGCGCGTCTTAAAGGAGCCGCGTCGTTATTCTGTGAGGGGAGTGAGGTTCCGCCGGCGGGCAGAGACACAAATAAATAGATAAATAAATTATCTGCGCTCCTGGCCAGGAAACGGGACCTCGCATGGAATATATGTGGTATTCGCATGGAATTCGTGTGGCAATCCAACCCTCTGGGGCCTGTGGAAGGGCCGGGGTAAGTCACAAGTAACTCCTGTGTAACTCCTGTGTAACTCGTATTTAACTCCCGTGACAAACCAATCATGGAGCCCCTTGGCAAGAAAGAATTCATTCCCATGTAACTCACGTGTTAATAAGTTAACAGAGTTAACCCTCGAGGTAAAAAACAAATATTGAGCCCACGGGCAGAAAAAGGATTGCCATTGTCTCCCAAGTAACTCGTGTGTAACACGCGAGGAACTCCCATGTAAATCCCAAGCAATTCCCAATTAATTCCCAACATACTCATGCGAAACTCACAAGGAACTCTCCAGACAAAATGATCATTTGAGCTTTTGGCAAAAAACCAAGGATTCCCATTAATCTCCCATGTAATTAATGTGTAACTCGCATGTAAATCCCAAGCAATTCCCAATTAATTCCCAAGTAACTCATGTGTAACTCACAAGTAACTCACATAGAAATCCCAAGCAATTCCCAATTAATTCCCATGTAACTCACGTGTAAATCCCAAGTAATTCCCAATTAATTCCCATCTAACTCATGTGTAACTCACATGTAACTCACGTGTAAATCCCAAGTTATTCCCACATAACTCATCTGTAACTTGCAGGGAGCCCACATAACTCCCATGTAAATCCCAAGCAATTCCCAATTAATTCCCAAGTAACTCATGTGTAACTCACAAGGAACTCTCCAGACAAAATGATCATTTGAGCTTTTGGCAAAAAACAAAGGATTCCCATTAATCTCCCATTAATCTCCCATGTAATTCATGTAGTAAACCACGTGTAAATCCCAAGTAAATTCCAGGTAATTCCCAATTAATTCCCATCTAACTCCTGTGTAACTCACAAGGAACTCTCCAGACAAAATGATCATTTGAGCTTTTGGCAAAAAAAAAAGGATTCCCATTAATCTCCCATTAGTCTCCCATGTAATTCATGTGTAACTCACAAGTAACTCACATAGAAATCCCAAGTTATTCCCAATTAATTCCCATGTAACTCATGTGTAACTCACATGTAACTCACGTGTAAATCCCAAGTTATTCCCACATAACTCATCTGTAACTTGCAGGGAGCCCACATGTAATTCCCAATTAATTCCCGTGTAATTCCCGTGTAACTCATGTGTAACTCACAAGTAACTCACGTGTAAATCCCAAGTAAATTCCAAGTAATTCCCATGTAATTCCCGTGTAACTCATGTGTAACTCACACGTAACTCACGTGTAAATCCCAAGTAAATTCCAAGTCATTCCCAATCAATTCCCATGTAATTCCCGTGTAACTCATGTGTAACTCACAAGTAACTCACGTGTAAATCCCAAGTAAATTCCAAGTCATTCCCAATCAATTCCCATGTAATTCCCGTGTAATTAATATGTAACTCCCAAGTAACTCACGTGTAAATCCCAAGTAAATTCCAGGTAATTCCCAATCAATTCCCATGTAATTCCCGTGTAACTCATGTGTAACTCACAAGTAACTCACGTGTAAATCCCAAGTAAATTCCAAGTCATTCCCAATAAATTCCCATGTAATTCCCATGTAATTAATATGTAACTCACAAGTAACTCACATGTAAATCCCAAGTAAATTCCAAGTCGTTCCCAATAAATTCCCATGTAATTCCCGTGTAATTAATATGTAACTCCCAAGTAACTCACGTGTAAATCCCAAGTAAATTCCCAATAAATTCCCATGTAATTCCCGTGTAACTCATGTGTAACTCACACATAACTCACGTGTAAATCCCAAGTAAATCCCAAGTAAATCCCAATCAATTCCCGTGTAATTCCCGTGTAACTCATGTGTAACCCACACGTAACTCACGTGTAAATCCCAAGTCATTCCCAATAAATTCCCGTGTAATTCCCGTGTAACTCATGTGTAACCCACACGTAACTCACAACACACCAAGCATTCGAGCCCCTTAAGCCAGAAAACTGCCTCCCGTCGTTGCAGGGAAGGTTTGGGTTGGAGACTGGGGAAATTCCCTCCTGGGGAAGTTTGTCCCCATTCCCAGAGGGACGGAACACCCCGTGGGGGGTGGGGACAGGGGAGTGCTGAGTAAATTATCCCTAAAATAGGAGGAATTGGGATTTCGCTGTCATTAGATATTTATCCTGTGTTGGATGTTTATTTCCTGTTGGATATTTGTGTGTTTATTAGTGGATGTTTCTATTGATAGTTGTTTGTTATTGTTAGGTACTTATCTGTTGTTAAATGCACATTATTGGTAGATATTTAATAATATTTATTAAATGCACATTATTGGTAGATATTTAATAATATTTATTAAATGCAGGGAACAGCCCCAGGCTGGGCCAGGGCAGCTCTGGGGACCCTGGGGACAATTCCCTCATGGAAAGGGTTTCCAGGCGTGGCAGGGGCTGCCCGGGCAGGGTGGAATTCCCGTTCCTGGAGGCATTCCAGAGCCCGTGGCTGTGGCACTGGGGACAGGGCTGTCCTGCCTCAGCTCCTGGGATAACCTCTGGGGGCTCTCCCTGATCCCCCAGGGTTTCATTTTCTATTTCCACATTCTGAGCTGCTTTGGGGTGTGGGTCTGGGCTCACATTATGGGATGGGGAGCTCTGTGCACAGAGCAGGGACACAAAACAATTCCTGCTGAGCTGGGCACCAAGGACAAATGATCCCAATGCCAGCCCAGGAGCACAAACCCCGTGGGCCAGGACAGGGGGAACAGCCCCAGGCTGGGCCAGGGCAGCTCTGGGGACCCTGGGGACAATTCCCTCATGGAAAGGGTTTCCAGGCGTGGCAGGGGCTGCCCGGGCAGGGTGGAATTCCCGTTCCTGGAGGCATTCCAGAGCCCGTGGCTGTGGCACTGGGGACAGGGCTGTCCTGCCTCAGCTCCTGGGATAACCTCTGGGGGCTCTCCCTGATCCCCCAGGGTTTCATTTTCTATTTCCACATTCTGAGCTGCTTTGGGGTGTGGGTCTGGGCTCCCATTATGGGATGGGGAGCTCTGTGCACAGAGCAGGGACACAAAACAATTCCTGCTGAGCTGGGCACCAAGGACAGATGATCCCAATCCCAGCCCAGGAGCACAAACCCCGTGGGCTGGAGCTCGGGGGATCCAGCTCTGGGGTTCTGCAGTGCCAGAGCCCACGTGTGGCTCCTGCAGCCCACGGAATGCCCGGCTGGGCTGGCACAGCAGCCTGGCCCCAGGCACAACCAGGATCATTTTCCCCAGGATTTCTCATCCCAACATAAAGAAGAAAAACCACCCATCCCACAGGGACAGGCTGTGGGCGCTTCCCAGCCCTCCTCCCACTTCCAGCAGCTAAAAGCTGCTGCTGCCACGCTCCTAAATCTGGGTTTTTTTCACCTAAACCTCCAGGTTTTGTAATCTCAGCCACCTGCAGGCAGAGGAATAGTTCCAAAACAAATCCCAAGACAAATATCACAATCTAGTTTTTCCTGCAGTTCTTCTTGCTCTTGAACACATAGTTTCCTTCAAGTGCTGGTAAAGGTCAAGAACATCACAGCTTTAATTCCAAGGGGAATATCTGGGTTTTTGTACAAGCTTTCCCAGTGATTTAGCACAGGCTAAATTCAAGATTCCCAGCCTGTCATAATTCACAGCTGTTGATAGCAGAGCCAAGTGGAATGTGATAATTATTGACCATCTAGACAAACTTTAAAAAGGAAAGGATTTCCCCACTTGACTGGAATTAATTATTTAAGGGGAAAAGGAAACAAACCCCATGTGATGGACATTTATTTATTCCAAGAAAGTGAAGGTGGAATATCTCCCTTCTTCCTTCTCACCCTCAGAGAATGGAAGGTCTGAATTCATTTTGTTTCAGGAGAAACCCTCTGGGAATGTTATTTGCAAAGAAAAGGGGATGTGTCCAAGCCTGCAGCTGGAACTTTCACAACCTCATGTTTTGTCAGTGCTCTTCCCTCCTAGAACAGCATCAAACAATTGAATGGGATTAAATAAAACTCGGGACCAAAAGCTGCTCCTTCTCTTGGGGAAAAGGCTGGTTTCAAAAGCAGCCTCACATCTGAGAACTGAAACTCCCAGATCAGAAACTGAGACCTAAAGCAACCCCGTGGCCAAAATCCCCCAGCTGGTTTCAGGGTGCTTTCCCCTCACATGGAAAAGTTCCCAAAAATCCCTCTGGAGATCCCCAGAGCCCAGCACAGCCCACCCTGCTGCCCTCCTCAGCTGCAGGGTCACCCTTGTGACACTCCAGCAGGGAAAGATTGCCCTTGGAAAGCTCTGGAAAGGCTGGAGCCTCTCCAGCCTGAGGCCAGCAGCTCCTCCCCACAGCCTGGGTGTTCTGTTGGGCAGCAAGGACACCTCGTTTTTACCAATTCTGCCAAATTCCACCCAAAAGAGGAAATGGTCATTTGTGAAACCGTAGCAAGTGTCACATGTGGTGTGTTTGAGCTTTTATGAGAATGACCTTGACTGCAATGCTTAGCACTGCATCTCTTCCTCCTCCTCCTCATCCTTCTCCTTCTCTTTTCCTTCTCCTTGCTTTTCTCCTTTTCTTTCTCCTTCTCTTTCATTTTCTCCTTCTCCTCCTCCTGTTTTCCTTCTCCTCTCTCTTCTTTTTCTCTTTCTCCTTCTCGTCCTCCTTTTCTCCTTTTCTCCTCCTTCTCCTCTTTTCCTCCTCCTTCCTTTTCTCCTTTTCTTTCTCCTTCTCCTTCCTTTTCTCCTCCTCCTCCTATTTTCCTTCTCCTCCTTCTCCTCTCTCTTCTTTTTCTCTTTCTCCTCCTCCTTTTCTCCTTCTCCTCTCTCTTCCTTTTTTCATTAAAAATAAATTCATAATTCCCATAACACAAAATGTTACCACTGGAATTCTTTCCTTTCTCCATCCCTCTTCATTTCCAGGACAGTATTTTGACTTTTCCAGGTGTTTCCAAGAGCAATGGGCAGCGTTGATTTGGGACAGAATCCAGGCCCAGCAACTGCTTCTTGCTGGATTCATAGTAGGTAATTAAAATGAAAGTAATTAACCTAATGGGAAACCATCCCAGGCTGCCAACCTGAGCTTTACACTAGGTAATTAAAATGAAAGTAATTAACCTAATGGGAAACCATCAGGGTGCCAACCTGAGCTTTACAAAGCACTTCTTGGGACCGTTTTCCTCGAGCACACGGAATTACCAGGGCTGAACCACAATTCCCAGTACTCCTGGGAGGGTGAACTCACATCCTGAGCATGTTTTATGTACTCAGCACAGGAACCTGTGAGAGCTGATAAGAGATTTAGTAAGTCCTGCTTAAATCCTTCCAGGAAAACAAAAGCTGATTAATTCCTGGAGTTCGGAGCATTCTGCTCCTTGAGGCAGAGTTTTGATTTCTGTTTGTGGCAAATGAATTCAGAGGAATATTGTTGTTCTGGAAGGAGGTGGATCCTCATCCCTGGTGCCTTGAAACAAGAAGTTTGTCTCCCTTTCAACATGGATTAATCTCTAGTCCTGAGGTTTTTTTTACCCAGAAATCTCCAGTTTAAGAGTCACATCCAAGAACACAACCCTTCCACGAGCTACCTCCAAGGACAAACCTGGAACTCCTCAACCACTTCCACTTGTGGTGCTGCACCTCCCCAGCTCCCCCTTCCTGGGAGCTGCTGGGGGCCTCAGGAATTCCCAGCTGGATGGACAAGTGTCCCCTGAGCAAACCAGCTCCTTGAAGCATCACCCTTGAGCACACCAGGAGCTTGTGCATGGAAAAGGTGGGAGAATGGTCCATACCAAGAGCCCCAGCCCTCAGCAAGGTGAGAACAAGGGATAATCCCTTATTCCCTGGGGGCTTTGGAACTTCACAGCCTGGAATCATCCCAAGTAGAAAAGTACCATTGTTAGTAGAGCTTTGAAAAAAAATCCTCCAGCAATTCCCAGCTTGGGTTGTGCCCAGGGTGGAAACTTCCTGATGAGTTATGGGAAATCATGGAATCACAGGATGACTTGGAAAGGACCTTAGAGCTCACCCAGTGCCACCCTGCCATGGCAGGGACACCTCCCACTGTCCCAGTGTCCAGCCTGGCCTTGGGCACTGCAGGGATCAGGGGCAGCCCCAGCTGCTCTGGCAATTCCAGCCCAGCCAGCAATTCCTCATGGCCAAGATCCCATCCATGGCTGCCCTCTGGCACTGGCAGCCATTCCCTGGCTCCTGTCCCTTGTCCCCAGTCCCTCTGCAGCTCTCCTGGAGCCCCTGCAATGTGCTGGAAGCTCTCCCTGGAGCCTTCTCCTCTCCAGGGTGAAGGGGCTGGTGCAGAGCGCTTGGTGTTAACTGGGATCTGTAATTAAATGGCTGTTGTAATTGGAGCAAACCCCATCCATGTAAATGTTCAATTAGCCCATGATTAAGTGCTGCTAAAACCTTTTGTGCCCTCACCCTTTTGCACCCTCTCCACCACCAGTGTCCATATGAATAATTCTGAATTGATTCTGACCTGGTGCTCATTTCATCCATGTGATAAATAATAGAATGGACCTTGCCAGGGACATGGAATGTTGGAGAGAATCCAGAGGAGGACACCAGGATCCTCAGAGGGATGGAGCAGCTGAGAGGAAAGGCTGGGAGAGCTGGGGGTGCTCACCTGGACAGGAGAAGGCTCCAGGGAGAGCTTCCAGCACATATTCCAGGGGCTCCAGGAGAGCTGCAGAGGGACTGGGGACAAGGGACAGGAGCCAGGGAATGGCTGCCAGTGCCAGAGGGCAGCCATGGATGGGATGTTGGCCATGAGGAATTGCTGGCTGGGCTGGAATTGCCAGAGCAGCTGGGGCTGCCCCTGATCCCTGCAGTGCCCAGGGCCAGGCTGGACACTGGGACTGGACATTGGGACAGTGGGAATGTCCCTGCCATGGCAGGAGGATGGAAAAAGATGATTTTAAGATCCCTTCCCACCCAAACCTTTCCATAATTCTATGAAATTTATATTAAAGCCTGGTTTTGCCAATACCACTGATGGTGGCAGTGATGAGACAGTGGTGATAACCCAGCCCAAAAATTGCTTCTCAGATGTTCAAAGCACTTGAAAACAGCCAGCCCCTAAAGCACGAGCTTGGATGTGGGGTGGTGAATTCTGTGGAGATCCAGGTGCTGTGTCCAGCCCTTGGTGTTCTCCCTGCCCCAAGGGTCACATCCTTGTCCTGGTGCTGGATGGGGAGGATCCTTTGATGTGGCACCTCAGGGAGTGCACAAAGGGCTCCTTGAGACAGGGACTTGCTGGGATGACCCCACAAATGGGCCTGTCAGGGAAAATTCCCTGTCTGACCACCCTGGAGCCACTCTGGAACTCACAAATCCTGAGCTGGGAATTCCTTCCCAGCTCCACCCCACCCTCACGGGGTCAGACCAGCTTTCCTCCCTCCACATTCCCCACGGCAGAGCCTCAGATGTCTCAATGCTTAAAATAATTAAATCTCAGTGCAATAATTAATAACAAAACAGCAGCTGGAGCTGGTGCCTCTCAGGAGGCCAAGGACCCCCTGGCTTTGCACACCCTCACAGTCCAGGCATGGAAAGTTCTGGATTGCTCAGCTCCTGCTGTGGCTCTGTGTGTCCGGTCACCTGGCTGGACGGTGGCTGGACACGGGCTGCTCAGTGCCAGCCCGTGTCCTCCTGTCCCCAGTTTGTGTCCTCCTGTCCCCAGCCCATGTCCCCTTGTCCCAGCCCATGTCCTCCTGTCCCCAGCCCATTCCTCCTGTCACCCCAGAGCCTGACCAGCCACTTGCCCTGAGTGTGTTCCTGAACACCCAACCATTCCCCAGCTCTGGTTTCTCATGGAGAGGCTCGAGGATTTCCGTGGAAATGCTTTGTGAACACATCCCCCCCCAGGGATCACAGCCCCCAGGCTGAGCAGTGCAAACTCAGCCAGCAGCACCAAACCCTCACCTGGAAATTTCAGACACAGCTGGATTTTTTACATTTTTAAAGGAATTCTTGAGCAGAAAGGCAAAGTCTTGCCAGACTGAATTTTCTTTTCCAAAACCTGAGATGATCACGCTCAGCTCTGGCACAAACTTCTCTTCTGGAAGATCAGCAGCTGGAGATCAGCAGCACCAAACCCTCACCTGGAAATTTCAGACACAACATTTTTTACATTTTTTGAAGGAATTCTTGAGAAGAAAGGCAAAGCCTTGCCAGACTGAATTTTCTTCAGCACAACCCGAGGTGATCACGCTCAGCTGTGGCACAAAGTGCTGTGAACCCTGCCCTGCTGTCTGCTTTTCATCCTGTGGGATCCCAGCCTGGCCAGTACAGCCACAAGTGTCACCAGCCAGCCCTGGGGACCTGGCATTGCCCCCAGCTGGAGTGGAACTGTGTGGATCCTTTGTCTCTCCTTTCTTACACATCTTAATGGTGAGTTTTATTTTAATTTTTTCTTGTTAGGGTCAGGATTAAATGTGTGAGATGGAATTTCTTGTTGGACTCAGGTGTTTATCAGTTCTTATCCATGTCACAGTCTCACAAACCCTGAGCTCTACAGCACTCTAACGAACTAAAAATGGAGCCCCAGCTCTCTCTCTTCAAGGCCTTTTAAGGATAAACTGTCCAATTAAGAAATGACACCTGAATTATTTTCACTTTTAACCCAATAACCAACCACCCATGCCCACAATGTGAACTTTTTTATCCAATGACACAAAAGCACCAAACCCGTGGAGGAGAAGGTGGAGAAGAAGGAGCAGCCACTGCCCCAAACCCCCATCTTGTTTTATAGAGTTTAAGAGTTTAGAATACAGTAAAATATTTAAGTTTCCCACCCTGTGGTGTCACACACTTCTGTCCAAACTGCACAGCCACAATCCCAGCTCTGCCATTCCATTCTGGAAGCTTCTCCAGGGCCTCAGCTCAGTGCAGAGTTCTCCTGGGGCTCAGAGCCTGCAGCACAGAGAGGCTGGAATTCCAACAGAACTTCTGCGGCGTTTTCACCTGGAATGTTCCTAAGCACTGCCCTCAGGCATTTCCTCCTGGTTCTCCGGGCTCATGCTGCTCTCTCTAAAACACACTGGGCAGGGTCCAGAGCTTGGTCACGGGTGCAGCCTCTCCTCTGCCTCAGGGAGGGTTAATTGAGGTTAATTCTCTTTCCTTGGGGGCAGAGGGAGAATTTATTCCCTGTCATGAAGATCTGGCCATGAAATATTATCCAAGTTACCCTTTGCTTTCCTTTTCTAGACACGTGGGGCTATTTGCTGATACTCACTGATAAAATTTAAAACAAACAAACAAACCACAGAGAATAAAGAGGTCACGAGCAAGGAGCTGCGTTGGGGAGGATTTGTTGTGAGCAGAACCTGTGGGATCTGAGTCCTGGAATGCTGTGAGCTGGAGCCTGACCGCAGGAGCTCTGCAGAACTTCCAGGGCTGGGTCACAGCTTGTTTTGCATTTTAAGGTTTGTGTGGGGACCAGCACGTTCCAGCTCCATTCATGGAATCCCCCCAGATCCAGGCCAGGCTCAGCGATCCCCCAGGACACCGCGACTCCCTCGGACAGCACATTCCATTCCTCATCTCCTGCCGGGATTTCCTCCCTCCCCAAGATGCTGCATCCCAAGAGAACCAGGACCCTCCTGGGTGTTGTTGTGACCCCATATCGCATCCCCCAGGCTCTGCTTTCTCCAGGGGCACCCCACCCCATACTGCACCCCCGGCTCACGAACCCAAACATTTCATCCTTTTCCTCCCAGGGCACCTCACACCTGCTGGATCCCGCATCCCTGCACTTCATCCCTTTCCGTCCCCGGGACCGAATTCCGCTCGGGCACGGGATGTTCCCGGCACTGCCACCCCCGCCCGCGCCTCCCGGACCCCGCATCCCCTCCCTGCCCCCGGCCGCCCATCCCGGCAGGGCGGCGCGTCCCTCCCGGTGGCCCGACTCGAAAGCGAAAGCGAAACCGCTGTGGCCACACCGTGACGGCGACAGCGGCGGGGAAGCGGCACGGAACCGCCGCCGGAGCCCGGAGCTGCCCCCGGGCCGCTGCCATGGCACCGCGGCTGCTGCCGCTGCTCTGCGGGGCCGCCGCTCTGCTGCTGCTCCGCGCCGCCGCCGACACCGGTAAGCGGGGCTGCCCCGGCTCCCGCCCGGCTCCGAGCCCTGCCCGGGGCGTCCGCACCCTCCCGGGCTCCCTCCGCCTTCCCCGGGGTGCCCGCTCCCTTCCCGGGCTCCCTCCGCCTTCTCCGTGGTGCCCGCTCCCTTCCCGGGCTCCCTCCGCCTTCCCCGGGGTGCCCACACCCTTCCCGGGCTCCCTCCTCCTTCCCCGGGGTGCCCGCTCCGTGCCCGGGGTGCCCGCTCCCTTCTCGGGCCGACACCGGTAAGCGGGGCTGCCCCGGCTCCCGCCCGGCTCCGAGCCCTGCCCGGGGCGTCCGCACCCTCCCGGGCTCCCTCCGCCTTCCCCGGGGTGCCCGCTCCCTTCCCGGGGTGCCCGCTCCGTGCCCGGGGTGCCCGCTCCGCTTGCCGGGATGCCCGTGGTACTCCCCGGGATCCCGGCTGAGCCCGCTCGACTTCCGGAGGGAATCGCGCCGCTCCCGGAGGTTTCCCAGCTCCCACGGCGGTGCCCACACCCTCCTTAGGGTGCCCGTGCCATCCCTAAGGTGCTCGCTCCGCTTTCCCGGGATGCCCGCGGCGCTCCCTGGGACGCCCGCTCTGCTTCCTGGAGAACTCACGCTGCTCCCTGGAGTACCCGAGCCCCCACTTGGGGTGCCCACACTGTCCCTGGCGTGCCCGTGCCATCCCTAAGTGTTTGCTCCAGTCCCGAGGGTGCCCTCTCAGCTCCCCGGGATGCCCGCTACCCTTCCCAGGCTACCCACGCTATTCCCCGGGTACCCAAAATCCCACTCGGGGTGGCCGTGCCATCCCTAAGTGTTTGCTCCAGTCCCGAGGGTGCCCTCTGTGCTCCCGGGATGCCCGCTACCCTTCCCAGGCTCCCCACGCTATTCCCCGGGTACCCAAAATCCCACTCGGGGTGGCCGTGCCATCCCTAAGATGCTTTCTGTGCTTCCTTGGATGCTTGTTCTGCTCCCTGGGGTACCCAAGCCCCCACTCCAGGCTGCTCCCCGGGGTGTCCATGCCACACCTGGGGTGCCCATGCTGCTCCCTGCATTCCCAAACCTCTCCCTGGGTGCCTCCTCACCCACCCCCAGAGTGCCCAGGCTGCAGCCCCGTGTCCCCCGGGTGCTCACCTGACTCCTGGCATTCCCACACCGCCTCCTCCCGGTGCCCAGGGGGGCTGGGGGTGCTTTCTGGGGTCTGTGTGAGGGACCCTTGGGAGCTGCATCACCGTGGGGTCTCAGCCTGCCTGCACTCTGTGACTTTTCCACACCGCTGGGACTTGTCCATGGCCACATAGCCTGGAATGTCACAGCATTGTCCTGCCTCTCCAGAAGTCCAGAATCCTGGAATCACTGGATCATGACGGCTGAAAGGCAGCTTCGAAGTCACTGAGTGTAACAATTAACCCAGCCCTGCCCAGGCCACCACTGAGCCTGTCCCCAGTGCCACATCCACAGCGCTTTGAATCCCCCCAGGGTGGGGACCCCACCCTGACCACGCCAGCCCATTCCAACAGCCCTTTCCAGGAAGGAATGTTTCCTAAAATCCCCCCTGAGCTGCCCTGGCCCAGCCTGAGGCCGTTCCCTCTCTCCTGTCCCTGTTCCCTGGAGCACAGCCCGACCCCCCCGGCTGTCCCCTCCTGCCAGGGACTTGTGCAGAGCCACCAGGGCCCCTGAGCCTCCTTTGCTCCAGGCTCAGCCCCTGCCCAGCTCCCTCAGCCCCTCCTGCTTCTCCAGCCCCTGCCCAGCTCCCTCAGCCCCTCCTGCTTCTCCAGCCCCTGCCCAGCTCCCTCAGCCCCTCCTGCTTCTCCAGCCCCTGCCCAGCTCCCTCAGCCCCTCCTGCTTCTCCAGCCCCTGCCCAGCTCCCTCAGCCCCTCCTGCTTCTCCAGACCCTTCCCAGCTCTGTTGCTCTTGGAGCTTTGGGAAAAGTCTCCTCACAGCTTGGGCCTTGGAACAACACCTTAGTTCATCCTCGCAGGAGCTGCTGGAAGCAGCAAGACCATTAGGAAACGTTTAATTTGCTGATAATGTGGCAGCTGTGAAGGATTCTGTGAAATAAAAGCTGGAAGGGAATGCAGAGCTTTGGGTGCTCACTCTTCTCCAAGCTCCTGAGTGCTCCTGAAGCCCTGGAAAATTCATTTATCCCTATTTATAACAGAATGACGGGAATGGCCAGGAATGTCCAAGTCTTTGGTGACAAAAATAAGCCAGAAGAGCACCATGAACTGGGAAGACACGAGCCCTGAGCCTCAGGAACGAGCTAAAAATAGCCCTCCCAAATCCATTCCTCACTGAACATGGATCCCAGACATCCCAACAACATTCCAGGCAGCAGTGCTGCCACCAGGATTGTTGTTTGGGGCAAAAACCATGGGTTTAGGGGGTGTTAGAGAAAACAAATAATATTTGTTTTCTTAGTTCACATGATGGGTAATTTGGGATGTGCTGCTGCATCCCACGACGTTCCCACCGGGCATCCTGTCCTCTTCTGCTCAACTGGAAATATTTTTGAGTTAAAATGTGGAAATTTTATTTATTTCCATGATTTTGGTATTTCTCATGGATTTTTCTTGCATCCAGTTTTGTGAAATTTCTCTTTTCTCCACTTTTTTTTTTTTTCTGGTTCATGGCTTTTAAATTTTGAGCAGAAAAACCCCACATCTCCGGGCCTTTTCCTGATATTTTTTTAAGGAGAACAGCCAGGTTTTTCCAGGTGTGGATCCTCCAGCTTCCAGCTGTTGTTGTGCATCCTTGGGAAGCTGCATTTGGACATGGGGTGACATCACATGGCAGCATCTCCATTTGGGATCATCCTGGCTGTATTCCCTGTTCTGCTTCCCAACGTGTCGGGATGAGCTCATCCTCCACAACTGGCATTGCTGGAGGCTGCTGGTGGGGAAAGACAAGAAAAAATGAAGAAAAAATCCACAGAAATGCAAAATCCTTGGATATCAGGCACATTTCAACCTGGATATCGAATCCCAGCAGGATGCAGGGAATCCTGATGGAAAAAGGCAGTGGAGGTGTTTTCCTGGGATGGTCAAATTCCAGCAGCACAGCTCCTTTGGAAGGCTGGCCAAGCGTGGGATGAGTCTTTGAGCAGCTAGGATGATCCATTCCTGGGAAATTCCAACTCACTCCTGAGGGATTAAAGCCTAAATCCTGCATTTCCAGCTGATTCCTCCCCTTTTCCCCTTGGGATGTGTTTGGTCTCATCAAAGAAGCTGAAATCCATGGATGGTGTGAAACGCTGGATGGTGACCCTGGAGATCTGGTTTGAACAACTTGGGCTTTTTTTGGGAGAGGAGATGCCAACCACATGTGAAAACAAACCCCTTTTTGGAGGATTGGGCTGAGGAGAGCAGGTTTAAAAGCTGAAGGCATAAACACAGCTTGCAGATCCCTGCTTTTCCTGGATATTTCTGGTGTTTAGGGCTGGATTTCCTGCTGTGCTCCCTTTGGCATTGGCACGGGAGCGTTTTGCACTGACTGAAGGCACAGTGCCAGCTCTGGTGAGTTGTGAAACATCCCCAGGCAGGCGTTTCCTCAAATCCCAGTTCCAGGAGCTGCTGATTCCAGGAATTTCACCCATGTCTTGACAGCAGCTGTGCTCAGCACCTGGATGTCCCCAGGTCACTGGTGTCCCCTGGCCAGGATCACTCCCGGATCCACCTGGAGCAGATTCCCCTGGGATGTTCTGGGGATGCACCACAAATCAGGGCAGGAGTTTTTGAGGATGGAGATTTTTATCTCTGGATGTTTTGGGTGCTGTGGGAGCACGTTGTGTTCCTGTCCCCACTGCTGCCGTGCCACTGTCCCCTTCCCATCCTGCCCCATTCCCACAGTTTCCAGTTCCCCATCCCCACAGTTTCCAGTTCCCCATCCTGCTCCCATTCCCACGGCTTCCAGTTCCCCATCCTGCCCCATTCCCACAGTTTCCAGTTCCCCATCCTGCTCCCATCCCCTCTGTTTCTGTCATGTTCCCATGCTCACTGTGTTTTCAACCCCATGTTCCCATTCCCACTGTTTCTATCCCCATTGTGCTCCTATTCCCATCCTGCTCCCATTCCCACTTTTTCTGTTCCCATCCTGCTCCCATTCCCACTGTTCCCATCCCCATCCTGCTCCCATTCCAGCTGCCATCACACCCCTGTCCCTGGTGTCTCTGTCCTTGTCACCAGCACGTTCCCACCCCTGTATGCTCCTGTCCTCACTGCCATGGCATTCCCATTCCCGTTCCCATTCCCATTCCCACTGTTTTTCCATCTCTGTTCCACAATGATCCCAGCCCAGCTGTGTGTTCCTGCTGGCTGGACTCTGCCCCATCCCAGCTGGACATCGTTCCATCCATGCCAGGCACCAGTTCATCCATCCAGCCTGGCCGTGCCTCATTCCACCCTATCCCTGCTTCCCTAATTCCCAGATATCCATCATTCCACCCTATCCCTAATTCTCAGATATCCATCATTCCATCCTATCCCTACTTCCCACTGCTCCATCCTAGCCATAGTTCACATCCCAGCCCTGCATGGATCCACCTCATCTGTGCATCCCATCCCAGATATCCATTGTTCCCTCCTGCTCATCCATCCCATCCCAGAATCCCAGATATCCACCACTCCCTCCTGCTCATCCATCCTATCCTATCCCATCCCATCCCATCCCAGAATCCCAGAGATCCTCCGTTCCCTCCTGCTCATCCATCCCATCCCATCCATCCCATCCCATCCCATCCCATCCCATCCCATCCCATCCCATCCCATCCCAGCTGTGTTTTGTGTTATTCCCACTGTACCTCTCTCCATCTCTCCGTGCTGGCTCCCACTGGGCTAGGGGAGCTTCCAGCAGCCAGGATCATGGATAAGCCATTCCCACACCACCGTGGGGATCCAGGTGCTGGCAGGAAATGTTTCCCTTTGCACCAGAAAAGAAGGGAAATTTCATCACTCTGGTGTGGAACCGAGCTCATCCTGAGGCTGAAGGGGAAGCAGGAGCTCGTTTGGGGAAAAGCAAAGCCACAACTCAAAATCCAGCGTTGTCCCTCCGTGTGGGGTACTTGGAATTCAGCTGCCACCTTCCAGAGGGGAACAACTCCTGGGAAGTGGCTGGAGGACTCAGCAGAGCTGGAATTTTTCACGTCCAGCTGTGAAATGAGTGGAGAAGGATGGGGGCAGTGACCACAGCTGGAATTCAGCAGCTGGAGGCAGCTGGGGCTGCTGGCCTGGGACAGCCACTGCATGGGAAGGAATTCCATAGAAATTCCTTGCTGGCTGGACGAGCTGCTATGAGTGACCACAAACATTCTGGAAGTGGAGCTTTCCCTTTCTCCAGCCTCTGGAGGAGCTGCTACGAGTGATCCCAAGAACTCTGGGAATATTCTCCCTTTCTCCATTCCCTGTGTCAGGCACGAGGTCCCTTTATTTCTGCAGCATGGATGAATCCCTGTATCCACCCCCAGGCAGGACTTTATAGCATCATGGAAAGCTCTGGGCTGGGAGGGAATTCAGGGATCACCTCATTCCATGTCCTGCCACGGGCAGCGACACCTCCCACTATCTCCAAGCCCCATCCAACCCGGCCTTGGGCACTTCCAGGGACGAGAAGCGGGGAATTCCCCAGCACAGCCAGAGCTTGTCTGCTCTCCCTGTTGTGATTCCATGTTTCTTTTCCCATCCCATCCCACTCCAGCTCGCTGCAGCCGCCCCAAGGCCGTGGCCAACGCTCACATCGACGCCGGGAACCGCACGGAGCTGAACTCCCGCCTGCGCTACGCCTGCAACCCCGGCTACAAACGGAAAGCTGGGACCTCCAGCCTCATCCAGTGCATCCTCTGGAACGGCTCCGAGCCCCGCTGGACCCACCCCACGCTCCAGTGCATCCGTGAGTCCGAGCTGGGAGCTGGGGCAGCGGCACCCCCGGAGCGGGAGCGTGGGGGAAACGCGAGCGTCACCCAAGCGGCGTTTCTTCCAAAAGAATCAGAAATTGGGGCAGTACAGAGAGGAATTTATCCGTGGAATTCCTCATGGATCATGGGGGATGTCCATGGGTTGGGAAAACAAAAGTTTAGGGACTTGCATCCTTTGGTGCTCCCAGACCTGGGGGAGGAATTTATTGTTGGGGACAGAGCGCCAAGAATTTATAAACCACAAAGAGACTTTGCATAAACCAGAGGTGCCCAATCTGGGAAAACAGAAATGCTGAAAATACACATTAATTAGGATGATTAAAAAGGGACAAATTACTAATCAATAGAAGATAGAATGGTAATTATTAGCTTGAAGCCAGTGAGCATTAATTCCTTGTTTTGCTAAAATATAAAAATTGTTAAAGTTTGACAATGAACATCCATTTTTTGGAATTAGGGGAATTTCCCCCAGACCTCAATGTTGGATGAAATAATTTTGACTCTCTAACTTACCAAACCACTTGGAGAGTTCATTTCCCAGCTGATGGTGTCTCCCTGTTGTGTTTTCCCAAAGGAGATCCAGCTCTTTCCTGGGAAACCCCCGCCCTGGAGAGCACGACCCAGAGGGGTGAGGAACAGGACTGGGATTGGGATTGGGACTGGGATTGGGGCAGAGCCACAGCTGCCAGGGTGTGGCAAGCCCAACATTCCCGTGCTGGGATCAGATTCACCCCGTGGGGTGAAATCCCAGCGTTCTGTGGCTGCTGGGTGAGGGCACGGAAATAACGGCACCGATGATTTTGGGAACTTAAACATTTCCCACCGTTTTCCCAGCAGGTACCACAGGTGCCACCCCAAATTCCAGCCCCTCTCCAGCTTCCAGCCAGTCCCCTGTGCCAGCAGCAGCTGATGGGCTGTCACCAGATGGATCCAGGCCAGCGGAGATGGTTCCAACACTGGACACACCCAGGCTGGGAGAGGGGACAACCCCGCTGCCCATCCCTCCCACGGATTATGCTGCAGGTTGGGCTGATTCCCAAGGAATTCAAACCTCCCCTGGGCCTTGTTTCACCCACAAAGGCTCTTTTGATTTTCCAGAGGAACTTTTCATTCTCTCCAACCTCCTTCCTAGTGAGGCTCCTCCCAGTATTTCCTACCTTTGCAGCTCAAAATTTCCTTTTCTCTCCTCTCTTCCAGTTTCCATCCAGTCCGTGGTCTCTTCTGTTGGTAAGCTGGGAAAAAAAACCAAAAACAAACAAACAACCAAAAAACCCCAAACTTCTTCGGGAAACAGGGGCTTATTTCAATTTTTTTTAAGCTTAAAATCCCTTTTGGGGGCTGTGGGAGCTTTATTCCATGGCCAATGGGAATGCCACTGAGGGGGGGAAGGATTCAGCACCCAAATTTCTCACTGGGAAGAAGAATTCCCTGTTCCCTCCCTTGGGATCTTGTGATGGTGCCTGGAGTGGTTTGGGCTCCTTATGGAGCTGTTTTGGTGGAACTCATCAGGCACGGGTGGGGAGATGCTCCTCACCCCAGTGTCCATCCCACAGGACTCCTGGTGCTGCTGGCCACCGGGACTGCGGCCGTCTGCTGCTGGAGGAGGAGGAGGAGGAAGTAAGTGCCAAGCCCCAGGAATGAGTTTCCCAAGGCTTCTGAGCTTTCCAAAGAAAAGCCTTGCAATGCCACTGATGCTCCTCTTCCCCCCACAGATTCACCAGGCAGGGCTACACAGTGACAGAGCCAGACATTCCCATGGAGGGAATTCCCTCTGGGAACGAGGAGGTGGCACCTCCTGCCATTGTCCCCACGGGCTGAGCACCCACCCTGGGGACACTGAGCACCCACCATGCCCAGGGATGGAGTTCTGGATGCTTCCCTGAGGGGTGGCACAGCACACGGAGCAGCCGGGCACGCGTGGCTGCTCTTCCCAGCCTGAACACAGATGATTCCCATGGATCATCCCAAAGGTGGGTGGGGGTCCTGCACCAGGAGCTGGGATTGGGGGGAAGTGGGGATGCTGGTGGTGGGCAGGGAGAGGGTTGGGATGTTGGGATGGGGTTTGGGATGAAGCTGAGCTGCCCTGCCCCAGGTAATTCCCATTCCCTGTCCAGGAGCATGGGCAGAGCTGGAGTAGCTGGATACCTGTCCCATCCCTGTCCCAGCTGTGCCCCAAATCCCAGAAAATGGATGAAGGGGGACCCAACCAAGCATCCCCCTAAACATCCTCATCCTTTTCCCTGCTTTGTCCACAAATCCCAGAAAATGGATGGAGAGGGATCCAGCAAAGTATTTCCTCACATCCTCATCAACTTCCTGCCTTTGCCCCAAATCCCAGAAAATGGATGGGGAGGGATCCAGCCAAGCATTCCCCTACACATCCTCATCCCTTTTCCCAGCTTTGCCCACAGATCCCAGAAAATGGAGTGAGGGGGATCCAGCAAAGCATTTCCCCACATCCTCATCCTTTTCCCAGCTTTGTCCCCAAATCCCAGGGATGAGACTGAGAAAGAACCAGCCAAGCATTTCCCCACATCCTCATCAACTTCCTGCCTTTGCCCCAAATCCCAGAAAATGGATGAGGGGGACCCAACCAAGCATTCCCCTACACATCCTCATCCCTTTCCCAGCTTTGTCCCCAAATTGCCCCAAATCCCAGAAATCAGACGGAGAGAACCAGCCAAGCATTTCCCCACATCCCCATCCCATTCCCAGCTTTGTCCCCACATCCCAGGAATGAGACTGAGGGAGAACCAGCCAAGCATTTCCCCACATCCCCATCCCATTCCCAGCTTTGTCCCCACATCCCAGGAATCAGACTGAGGGAGAACCAGCCAGGCATTTCCCCACATCCCCATCCCATTCCCAGCTTTGTCCCCACATCCCAGGAATCAGACTGAGGGAGAACCAGCCAGGCATTTCCCCACACCCTCACCCTTTCCTGCTGTCTTGCAGCCACGGAGGCAGAGCCAGAGGTGTTGGGACCATCCCACCCCAGAGCCCAGGGATCCTCTGGAAGCGCTTCCAGCACCAATCCCAGCTCTGGATCCTGATCCCCACTGGCTCAGGGGGAACCCAAGCTGGAGCAGTCTCTACAGGCACCACCAAGGACCAAGAACACAATTTAGGGAATATTTTCCTTTGTGTGTTTTCCCTTTATCCATCAGCAGTTTTTAGGCACTTGTTTCCTTATCCAGGTTTTATCCACTTGTTTCCTTACACTCTGGAGAAGGCAGCTATTTATTTTTATCTATAAATAAATATATTTTATATAAAAATCAACAGAGCAGTGGGTTCTTAACTGGATGGGAAGGATTGGATTGGGATGAATCCATGCCCACAGCACCAAGGACATTCCCATCAGACACCATGGAAATAAAGGGTCCATTCCCATCCTCCAGAGCTGCCAGTTCTCAAAAGCTTGGGAGGCTGCAGGGATGCAACAGCTGAAATTGCAGGGCTTCTCCTGGCTGCCCTGGTCCTGTTTGTGCCTCTGGTGCAGGATGTGTGCCAGGCACAGCACTGGGCACATCCCTGCTCCCAGGGATGCTCGGGAGGCTGGGAGGGAGCAGCAGGTGCCTGATCCAGGTCCAGGCTGGGAATGCATTCCTGGAGCCAGCTCTGGAAGTGAAAGCAGAGGGAGGGAAGCAGCTCCATGAATGGGAAAAAGGGATGTCTGAGATCCCTGCAGCAGGCACAGCCCAAGCTCCAGGCTGTGTCCAAGGGCACATTCCTTAAAGCACTTTCAGTTTTGATTTCCCATGGCACAGGCTCTGGAATTGCTGAGTGTGATCCACCTGAGCGTTCCTGGGAAATAAAGGGTATTTAAGGGCAGGGAAGAGACACAAAGGAGCTGTTAAGGCTTTTTTTGGCTACACATTTAATTCTAGGATTGGAAATCCCTCTCCAGTTTGTCCCTGAGTTTGGCTGGAACCAAACCAAAGGAATTTTTCTGCTGCTGCCTCATTTTTTTCTTCCTGGTTGGCTGCAGGGAGAGGGGAAAGAATTCAGGGAAACCTCTCAGCTGCAAAGATGGAAAATGAATTCACTGGGAGAGATTTATTATTTCCTCCCACAGCTAGACAGGAACAGTTCATTTAAAGAAATAAATCTTCTTTGGATACTTTCCAGTGTTGTGTTTCCTCTGCTTCCAGAGGGTCAGAGGGATTTCCAGGAATTATGAGATGTTCAGGAAATTTGGACACTGGTGACAGGAGGAAGAGTTCCAAAATGAACCCTGCTCTGTCTGATCCATTCCTAAAGTGCAGATTCCTCTGGAGATCCCACTCCCAGCTCCTGGAGGATGAGGCAGGGCTGGAGGAAAGGCATCACATTGTCCCCAGGGAGTCTGAAGTTCTTCTGGAGCTGGGAACATCCTGCTCCAACATCCCCCTGGAATTTGGAGCCAGGCTGAAATCTGCTCCAACATCCACCTGGAATTTGGAGCTGGGCTGAAATCTGCTCCAACATCCCCCTGGAATTTGGAGCTGGGCTGAAATCTGCTCCAACATCCACCTGGAATTTAGAACTGGGAACATCCTGCTCCAACATCTGCCTGGAATTTGGAGCTGGGCTGAAATCCTGCTCCAACATCCACCTGAAATGTGGAGCCAGGCTGAAATCCTGCTCCAACATCCGCCTGGAATTTGGAGCTGGGCTGAAATCTGCTCCAACATCCACTTGATTTTCGAGCTGGGATGTGCCAAGAGGATTTGTCCCACATCCAGGACAGCTCTGGGAAGCTGGAGGGCTTTGTCAGAGCTGGATGGGCTCCTGCTGGATCGTTGGGAAAGAGGTGAGAGGAGTCAGGGAGCCGAAGAACAGCCAGGTGCAAGCCTGGCAAAGGAATCCCCCTGGATCCCGGCTGCCGTCGCTCTGTGGGAGGAAAAGAGGAGATTTCAGGGAGGAGGAAGCAGCAGGAACACAACCTCGGCTTCCCAGCTCTGCCACAGCCCAGGGAGGGGAGCCATGATGTGCCCAAAGCAAGGAAATCCCACACAGAACCATGGAATGGTTGGAAAAGATCTTTAAGGACATCGAGTCCAGCTGCTGCAGGAAGAACTGATGCCTTGTGAAGGCTGAGCTAGAAGAGAGAGTAGATGGAGCTCCAGAACCACAGCCACGGGCTCTGGAATGCCTCCAGGAACGGGAATTCCACCCTGCCCGGGCAGCCCCTGCCACGCCTGGAAACCCTTTCCATGAGGGAATTGTCCCCAGGGTCCCCAGAGCTGCCCTGGCCCAGCCTGGGGCTGTTCCCTGCCCTGCCCGTGGCCATGGAGCTGCCCAGGCTGAGCTCGTGTTCCCTGCGGAGCTCGGCCCTCCCACGGCTCGGGACAAGGATCCAGAGGGACCAAAGGCACCCCTGGCCCTGGCACTGGCACTGGGCCAGGCTGCTGTGCCAGCCCAGCCGGGCATTCCGTGGGCTGCAGGAGCCACACGTGGGCTCTGGCACTGCAGAACCCCAGAGCTGGATCCCTGAGTCTCAGATGGGATGTGTGGGACGGAGTGGATCTGTGGGAAGTGCAACACCACCTGGAATTACCCTTGGAGTTCACCCCTGGCTGTGAGCACGAGGACACGGATGGGGAGCTGAGATCCCTGCTCGGAACAGGGACTGGAATGGCTCAGGAAAGCTCCAAATCCCAAATCCCAGGGAAGGGACCTACGTGAGTCAACGGGAGCTTCTTCACCACCAGCCCGGAGCTGATCTCCAGGGGTTTTGCACATCCTGACACACAGCAAACAACAGGAGCTCCATCCTTGTCCTTGCCAGCCTCACTCAGCAGCTCCACCCGGAGGAATCGCTCCTAGGAAACACGGAGAAAAGGGAATGGCACCCTCGGAGGCAGCTGAGGGAAGCTGAACGTTGCTCCGTAATTTTTTTAAGCCCCTAAGGAAGAGACTTGGAACATGATGGGATTTAAAGAAGGAACAAACCCTCAAATTCCTGGTGATGAAAAAGCTCCAGAAGCCAACAGAAGGAAAGGAAGGGAAAGGGAAAAAAGGAGAGGGAAAAAAGGAGAGGGAAAAAAGGAGAGGGAAAAAAGGAGAGGGAAAAAAGGAGAGGGAAAAAAGGAGAGGGAAAAAAGGAAAGGGAAAGGGAAAGGAAAAGGAAAAGGAAAAAAGGAAATAAATGAAGGAAATGAAATGAAGGAAATAAATGAAGAGCTGGAAGGCCCTGCAGGCTGGGAAAAGGGAACCTCCACACTTCCACGGAGATAAAAACCCAGGATCTGTGGAAAACAACATCCAAAAGCAAGAACTGTGGAAAAAGCTCACTGCCATCCTGTGTCTTCCTACTGGAATCTCTGATGGAGCAGCAAAATGCAGGAATAGAAGTGATTGCTGTTGTGGTGCATGCCAGCACAAGGAGCAGCCATGGCACCAGGATGGATCTCAGGATAATCCTTGGGTGCCTGGAATCACCCCCAGCAGCATTCCCCTGCCCTGGGAAGGCTTCACTTACTCCAGCCAGAGCTAAAAGGTTTTCCAGGGATTTGGACATCAGCAGGCACTTCTTGGCTCTGGTCACGGCCACGTAGAGCAGGTTCCACTCGTCCTGAGGGGTCCTGGCTGGGGGGAGGAGAGACAATCCACAGGGCTTCGACATTCCCCCAGGAATGGGGACTCCACCCTGCCCTGACACCTTTTCCACAGGGAAATGTTCCCTAACATCCAACCCAACCCCCCCCTGGCTCAGCTGGAGGGATCAAACCTGGGAGCAGGGAATGCTGAGCTGCTCGAGAGCACGGAATTCCCAGCTGGAATCAGCCCTGGGCACCCTGAGCCGGGCTCAGCCTCCCACACCAACCCACTGGGAATGGTTTATCCAGTCCTGCCTTGCTGGGATGGGATTGCTGGAGCCAGGGAATCACTGGGGCTGGGAGATTTCTGGGATGGAACCCAACATTCCCAGCACTGCCAGGGCCACCATGTCCCCAAGTGCCACATCCACAGGGTTTTGAATCCCAACAGGAATGGGGATTCCACCCCTGTGCCAGTGCCTGACCCCCTTTCCATGAAGGAATTGTCCCCAAATCCCCCCCGAGCTGCCCTGGCCCAGCCTGAGGCCGTTCCCTCTCTCCTGTCCCTGTCCCCTCCTGGGAAATGGATTTTTGTAAAATTTGATGGAAAGTTTATATAGTTTGGTATATTTGTATATAAATATTGAGATAAGGTGTGTTGATTTAGGAAGGTTATTGAATAGGGATGACCTTGCTGAGAGAGATTTAATTGGAAATAAGTTTTAAAATAGGGTTTTGTAAAAAGCTCAGATATTTTAGAGAATTAGAATGTGTTTTACTCTTTATTGAGATTGATAATAGAGTAAAACTTTGTAAAACACCTCTCAATTACCCCATCTCTACAAAAAGTAGGAAAACCAAAATTCCCTCCTGCCAGGGACTTGTGCAGAGCCACCAGGGCCCCTGAGCCTCCTCTGCTCCAGGCTCAGCCCCTGCCCAGCTCCCTCAGCCCCTCCTGCTTCTCCAGACCCTTCCCAGCTCCCTCAGCCCCTCCTGCTTCTCCAGACCCTGCCCAGCTCCATTCCCACTCTCCAGCCCCTCACCACATTTTTCTTTCCCATTTTTGGGGTCTCCAGGGAGCTGTTTCCTCACCAAGAGCCGTGCTCATCCTCCTCAGGAAGTCCCCAGTGACAGAAGGGATTTGCACAAAATCATCTGCCACGCAGACGGTGTCGAATTCCAGGCCCTTGGCTTGGTGCACGGTCCCGATGAGAAAATCTGGGAAAAACAAGGAAAAAGGCTCAGCCTGGGCAGCAATAATGGTAATTTTTGTTTCATTCCATTCTGCATCCATTCCCCTTCTCCCAAAGCTCCTCTGTGAGGAATCAGGATGGATGAAGGGGATTTGTACCCAGGGAAATTCCTGGTTGGCATCCCGAGCTCCAGCCACATTCCCAAACAGGAATGTTCAATTTCTGAGGAATTTTCTCTCCCCAAATTCCAACAGGAATCCCAAATGGGCAGGGGTTCCACATTCCACTATCCCAACATCCAACTTTGGGCATTCCAGGGATGCAGGGGCAGCCCCAGCTGCTCTGGCAATTCCAGCCCAGCCAGCAATTCCTCCTTCCCAAAATCCCACCCCAATCTCCCTTCCCAAGGAATTCCCTCCATTCCCAGCTCTCCCAGCCTGGGATTGGATCCATCCCCACCCCAACTCTGATCCAGGGGTTTCACTGGGAATCTCAGGACTCCAGGAAGGGTCTCCCTTCCCTTTTCCATCCCCAACTTCCATAAAAATCCCTGGGGATGGATTCTGAGTGTCCCAAATCCCAGAATCCCAGAGCAGTTTGGGTGGGAAGGGACCTCAAAGCTCATTCCAGGGACACCTCCCCTGTCCCAGGCTGCTCCAACCCTTCCTTGGGCACTGCAGGGATCAGGGGCAGCCCCAGCTGCTCTGGCAATTCCAGCCCAGCCAGCAATTCCTCATGGCCAAGATCCCATCCATGGCTGCCCTCTGGCACTGGCAGCCATTCCCTGGCTCCTGTCCCTTGTCCCCAGTCCCTCTGCAGCTCTCCTGGAGCCCCTGCAATGTGCTGGAAGCTCTCCCTGGATCCTTTTCCAGGAGAACATTCCAGCTCTCCAAGCTCCCTCCAGAGCAGAACTCCAACCCCAAAACCAACCCCCCTCCCTTCTCCCTAAAAACCCCGCCTGACCTTCTCCCAGGATTTAAAACAACCCCAACTCCTCCTGGGCCCCGGGCTCACCTGCCAGGGCCTCGTGGCACACGTGGCTGTCCCGGATCCTGCCCACCAGCGCGGGGATGCTGTGGCTGTACCTGTCCACGAGGCCGATCTTGCCCTGCAGGTCGCGGTCGTCGGCGCGCGCCGCGAACTCCCGGAGCGCCGGCAGCCCCCCGGCGCCCTCCCAGCGCCGCACCAAGGCGTCCTCGATCGCCAGCCTCGCTGCCAGCCAGGAGGGAATCATTGCACTTATTTTCATTTTTATTGCAGGTTCCATCCAGCGGTTTCAGCCTTATACTGATTTTTATCATTTGCAGCTGTCAAAGGAATTTTGCCAGGGGTTCGCCGCATAAAAAATTGGGAATAGCGTTCATGGGATTGAGGGTTTGTGGAAAATTTGGGATTTTTTTTGTTGTCCCCATAAAAATCCCGTCTGTTGTTGGTGGGTTTTAAAGGGATGAGTTTTATACTGGATTTTATTCCGTATTTTAAAGGAATTCCTGAATATTATTCCGTATTTTAAAGGAAAGCCTGATTTTTATCCTGAATTTTATTCCATACTTTAAAGGAAATACTGAATTTTATCTTGGATTTATTCCATACTTTAAAGGAAATCCTGAATTTTATCTTGGATTTATTCCATACTTTAAAGGAAATACTGAATTTTATCTCCCCCTCCATCCTCCCTAAAAACCCCGCCTGACCTTCTCCCAGGATTTAAAACAACCCAAACTCCTCCTGGGCCCCGGGCTCACCTGCCAGGGCCTCGTGGCACACGTGGCTGTCCCGGATCCTGCCCACCAGCGCGGGGATGCTGTGGCTGTACCTGTCCACGAGGCCGATCTTGCCCTGCAGGTCGCGGTCGTCGGCGCGCGCCGCGAACTCCCGGAGCGCCGGCAGCCCCCCGGCGCCCTCCCAGCGCCGCACCAAGGCGTCCTCGATCGCCAGCCTCGCTGCCAGCCAGGAGGGAATCATTGCACTTATTTTCATTTTTATTGCAGGTTCCATCCAGCGGTTTCAGCCTTATACTGATTTTTATCATTTGCAGCTGTCAAAGGAATTTTGCCAGGGGTTCGCCGCATAAAAAATTGGGAATAGCGTTCATGGGATTGAGGGTTTGTGGAAAATTTGGGATTTTTTGGTTGTCTCCATAAAAATCCCGTCTGTTGCTGGTGGGTTTTAAAGGGATGAGTTTTATACTGGATTTTATTCCGTATTTTAAAGGAATTCCTGAATATTATTCCGTATTTTAAAGGAAAGCCTGATTTTTATCCTGAATTTTATTCCATACTTTGAACCCAACATTCCCAGCACTGCCAGGGCCACCATGTCCCCAACGGAAATCCTGATTTTTATCCTGAATTTTATTCCATACTTTAAAGGAAATACTGAATTTTATCGTGAATTCATTCCATACTTTAAAGGAAAGCCTGATTTTTATCTTGGATTTATTCCATACTTTAACGGAAATCCTGATTTTTATCCTGAATTTTATTCCATACTTTAAAGGAAATAATGAATTTTATGGTGAATTTTATTCCATACTTTAAAGGAAATCCTGAATTTTATCTTGGATTTATTCCATACTTTAAAGGAAATCCTGAATTTTATCCTGAATTTTATTCCATACTTTAAAGGAAATAATGAATTTTATGGTGAATTTTATTCCATACTTTAAAGGAAATCCTGAATTTTATCTTGGATTTATTCCATACTTTAAAGGAAATCCTGAATTTTATCTTGGATTTATTCCATACTTTAAAGGAAATCCTGAATTTTATCTTGGATTTATTCCATACTTTAAAGGAAATACTGAATTTTATCCTGAATTTTATTCCATATTTTAAAGGAATTCCTGAATTTTTTTCCTGAATTTTATTCTGTATTTTAAAGGAAAAGCTGATTTTTATCCTGAATTTTACTCCATATTTTAAAGGAAATCCTGAATTTTAACCTGAATTTTATTCTGTTTTTAAAAGGAAATCCTGATTTTTTTTTCCTGAATTTTCTTCCATATATTAAAAGAAATCCTGAATTTTATCTGAATTTTATTCCATATTTTAAAGGAAATTTTTAAAAAATTGAGCTTTACACCCAAACCAATCCAGGGAACACTGAAAATAATTAAAAAACAATTGAAAATTTGAAAAATTTGGGAAAAATATCCCAAATTCTGGGTTTACTTACACTGAAAATAAGGAATCACTGTGGAAAGCTGAGAAAAGATGCTTGAAAATTGCCAAATTTGGGGATTTCTGGAATTAAGCAGCCAAAATAGCCCAGCCCATGATAAAACCATTAAAAAATGAGATTTAAACTGAAAAAATTAATTAGGAAATATAAAATTAACCGGGGTTAATTATAAAATTGTAATAAATAATATATAATAATTATAAATAAAATAATTCAAAATATAATATTTATAAATATTAAACAATAAATATAAATATTAGATAAATATAACTATTAAACTACCTATAATTTATAATAATTATTAAAAATAATTATATAATGACACATAGATTTTTATTTTTTTTTTTTTTAATAATTAAAAGGGTTTTGATTTCCAGCAAAACCTAAAAAATCCCAGAAAAAAGAAGGAGAAGGGAATACTCACAGTTTTTCCTGACATCTGCAGGCAGGCTGAGCTTCCAAATGTCATAAATTCTGCTCAGGCCAAATCTCTCCAATCCCTAAAAGGAAGAAAAATGTATTTATAAAACACAGAAATAAAATTTATTTAGAAAATATATTTTATTTATTTTTTTTAAGATGTATTTTTTGTTTTTATTATTCCATATATGTTTTATTTATGCATTAATTTTATTTACCAAATAAAATTTATTTATAAAATACATGAAATATTAAAAAAAACCCATAAAATAATACAAAATTACATAAAATAAACTAACAAAAAACCAAATAAAAATAATAAAGTTATTGCATTTATAAATACAATTTATTCCAAACTGCAGAAGATTTTCAACCCTGAGCACTTCAACCCCTCCACAAATTGGAATTTGGGTGGAAAAAAAAAGGAAAATTTGAAATACCAACCTAAAATTCCCAAGGATCAAGTTCCAAACCTGTTAAAATTCCCAAAATCAGGCTGAAAACCTCTCCAAATTCCATTAATTTTGTTGTTTTCCTGCCCCATTCCTGCTAAAAATGGGACAAATTATCCCAAAAATGGGATGAGGCCTGCAAGGCCTGGAGAGGAACAGCTCTAAACAATCAAAAATTCCTGCTTTTTCCTGAAATATTAATTTAAAACCTTGGAATTATTTATTGCAGCTGTTCATCCCTCTTTTCCTTGCCCCATCCCTCATAAAAATGGGAAAAATTATCGTAAAAATGGGACAAATTATCCCAAAAATGGGATGAGGCCTGCAAGGCCTGGAGAGTAAGAGCTCTGAATAACATCCCTGGCCACAAAAAAATCCTGCTTTATCCTGGAATATTAATTTAAAACCTTGAAATTATTTATTGCAGCTGTTTGTCCCTCTTCTCCTTGCCCCATCCCTCATAAAAATGGGACAAATTATCCTAAAAATGGGACAAATTATCCCAAAAATGGGATGAGGCCTGCAAGGCCTGGAGAGTAAGAGCTCTGAATAACATCCCTGGCCACAAAAAAATCCTGCTTTTTCCTGGAATATTCATTTAAAACCTTGAAATTATTTATTGCAGCTGTTTGTCCCTCTTCTCCTTGCCCCATCCCTCATAAAAATGGGACAAATTATCCTAAAAATGGGACAAATTATCCCAAAAATGGGATGAGGCCTGCAAGGCCTGGAGAGTAAGAGCTCTGAATAACATCCCTGGCCACAAAAAAATCCTGCTTTTTCCTAGAATATTCATTTAAAACCTTGAAATTATTTATTGCAGCTGTTTGTCCCTCTTCTCCTTGCCCCATCCCTCATAAAAATGGGACAAATTATCCTAAAAATGGGAAAAATTATCCAAAAAATGGATTGAGGCCTGCAAAAAAAGCCCCAAAATGGGACGAGGCCTGCAAGGGTTGGAGAGGAAGAGCTTCAAATAACATCCCTGGCCACAAAAAACTCCTGCTTTTTCCTGGAATATTCATTTAAAACCTCAGAATAACTTGTCCCAAATGTCCATCCATTTTTTCCTTGCCTCATCCCTGATAAAAATAGGACAAATTATCCAAAAAATGGGATGAGACCTGCAAGGCTTGGAGATTAAGAGCCCCAAATAACATCCCTGGCCACAAAAAAATCTGGTATTTTTCTAAAAATTGCTGCTTTTTCCTGCAATATTCATTTAAAAACTCGGAATTCTTTATTTCAGTTGTTCATCCCTCTTTTCTTTGCCCCATCTCTGATAAAAATGGGACAAATTATCCCAAAAATGGGATGAGGCCTGCAAGGCCTGGAGAGTAAGAGCTCTGAATAACATCCCTGGCCACAAAAAAATCCTGCTTTTTCCTGGAATATTCATTTAAAACCTTGAAATTATTTATTGCAGCTGTTTGTCCCTCTTCTCCTTGCCCCATCCCTCATAAAAATGGGACAAATTATCCTAAAAATGGGAAAAATTACCCAAAAAATGGATTGAGGCCTGCACAGAAAAGCCCCAAAATGGGACGAGGCGTGCAAGGGTTGGAGAGGAAGAGCTTCAAATAACATCCCTGGCCACAAAAAACTCCTGCTTTTTCCTGGAATATTCATTTAAAACCTCAGAATAACTTGTCCCAAATGTCCATCCATTTTTTCCTTGCCTCATCCCTGATAAAAATAGGACAAATTATCCAAAAAATGGGATGAGACCTGCAAGGCTTGGAGATTAAGAGCCCCAAATAACATCCCTGGCCACAAAAAAATCTGGTATTTTTCTAAAAATTGCTGCTTTTTCCTGCAATATTCATTTAAAAACTCGGAATTCTTTATTTCAGTTGTTCATCCCTCTTTTCTTTGCCCCATCTCTGATAAAAATGGGACAAATTATCCCAAAAATGGGATGAGGCCTGCAAGGGCGGGAGAGTATGAGCTCCAATTAACATCCCTGGCCACAAAATAAAATTCTGCTATTTTTCTAAAAATTCCTGCTTTTTCCTGGAATATTTATTGAAATCCTTGGAATAACTTGTTCCTGCTGTCCATCCCTCTTTCCCTGCCTCATTCCTGATAAAAATTATCCCAAAAAATTGATTGAGGCCTGCACAAAGAAGCCTCAAAATGGGACGAGGCCTGCAAGGGCTGGAGAATAATGGCATCCCTGGGCACAAAAAATTCCTGTTTTTTCCTGGAATATTCCTTGAAATCCTCGGGATTTGAGTGGGTGCAAGGCCCCTCACCCCAATGATGTGGAATTTGGCCGGGGGGTTCCTCCCAGAGAATTCCACGGCGTCCTCAAACACGTTCCAGTTGCTCCGGGACAGCAGCGCCACCTTCCCCTCCCGGCCTCCCCTCACGTCCCCTGGGGGAGGAATCCCCAGTTAGCCACGGCCATTCCCAGCTGGAATCCCCAGTTAGCCACGGCCATTCCCAGCTGCAATCCCCAGTTAGCCACGGCCATTCCAGCTGGAATCCCCAGCTCACCCCTCTGGTCTCCTCCCAGCAGGGTTCTGCTGCGGATCCCCTTGCACACATCCAGGATCGTGGCTCCCACGTAGGCGATCTCGGGGCCGAACCTGAAACTCTGCAGAAACCCGGGATCAGCAGGAAAACCAGCAGGAATTTTATAGATTCCAAGAATTCCATCTCTATATGGAATTATGGGATTCCCAGCAATCTTCTGGACAGCTTTTTCCATGGAAAAAGCATCAAAATTTCTCCAAAATACTCCTGGAAATCTTGGTTGTTCTTAAGACCTTATGGAGAACTTTTCTCTTGGAAAAAGCATCAAAATCCCTCCAAAATATTCCTGGAAATCCTGGGCATTCTTAAATCCAAATTATGGCATTCCCACCAACCTCCTGGACAATTTTTTTTCCTGGAAAAGGCACCAAAATCCCCAAAATATTCCTGGAAATCCTGGCCATGGCAGGGACACCTCCCACTGTCCCAAAATGTCCAGCCTGGCCTTGGGCACTGCAGGGATCAGGGGCAGCCCCAGCTGCTCTGGCAATTCCAGCCCAGCCAGCAATTCCTCGTTCCCAAGATCCCATCCATGGCTGCCCTCTGGCACTGGCAGCCATTCCCTGGCTCCTGTCCCTTGTCCCCAGTCCCTCTGCAGCTCTCCTGGAGCCCCTGCAATGTGCTGGAAGCTCTCCCTGCACCCTTCCCTTCTCCAGGAGAACATTCCCAGCTCTCCCAGCATCCCCAGGTCTGGTGGATCCCACAGCTGGATCCAGCATTCCAGATGTGATCCCCTCACAAAAGGGGAATCTCCCTGAAACAAAGCCTTAATCCCAACTCCCACTTTTCCACCAACAGGATGGGATCCCTCCACTGAAGCCCCACAGCTGCCAGACTCCCCAGCAATCCAGGGAAAACAAGCCCTCCACAGTGCCAAATTTTCCATGGACCTGGGATTTATCCATGGAAACGCTGCCCTTACCTGGGTCAGGTAGTACACGTGGGTGTGAGGCACCAGGTACAGGGTGTTGACGGCGCCTCGGAAGGTGTAGATCTGCTGGTGGGGGTCTCCCACCAGGATCTTCCCACATCTTTGGGATTGCACGATATCCACGATGGCTGTGAGGGAAAAAATATTGGATCATGAGGGAAGAACCTGCTCCAAATCCAAGGAAAAGTTGTTTGGAACATGAGGGTCCAAATTCAAGGAAAAGCTCAGCTGAGATCATGATGGAAGAACCTGCTCCAAGGGAAAGCTCAGTTTGGATCACAAGAGTCCAAATCCAAGGAAAAGTTCAGTTGGAATCATGAGGTTCCAAATCCAAGAAAAAGCTCCGTTTGGATCATGAGGGAAGAACCTGCTCCAAACCCAAGGAAAAGCTCAGCTTGGATCATGACGGAAGAACCTGTTCCAATGCAAATCCAAGGAAAAGTTCAGTTTGGATCATAAGGGAAGAACCTGCTCCAAACCCAAGGAAAAGCTCAGTTTGGATCAGGAGGGTCCAAACCCAAGGAAAAGCCCAGTTTGGATCAGGACGGAAGAACCTGCTCCAAATCCAAGGAAAAGCTCAGCTTGGATCATGAGGGAAGAACCTGCTCCATACCCAAGGGAAAGCTCAAATGGGATCATGAAGGAAGAACCTGCTCCAAATCCAAGGAAAAATTCAGTTGGGATCATGAGGGAAGAACCTGCTCCAATGTAAATCCAAGGAAAAGCTCCGTTTGGATCCTGAGGGAAGAACCTGCTCCAAACCCAAGGAAAAGTTTAGTCTGGATCATGAGGGAAGAACCTGCTCCAATGCAAATCCAAGGAAAAGCTCAGTTGGGATCATGAGGGAAGAACCTGCTCCAAACTCAAGGGAATGCTCAGTTTGGATCATGAGAGTCCAAATCTAAGGAAAAGTTCAGTTGGGATCATGAGGGAAGAACCTTCTCCAAATCCAAGGAAAAGCTCAGTTTAAACGCCAAACCTGAGGGGAAAATTTGTTTAAATTCCAAGTATTTAGGCTGAGATACTTCCACCACATTCCTGAGCACACAGAAATCCCCTCTGGGAGTGGGATTGGAGCTCCAGCTGCTGGAATAACTCACCTGGAGTGCAGTCCTGGGCTTCATCCACAAAAATGGCATCGTATCCCGAGAGCTGGGGCTTGCTGAGCTGCCAAAGTTTCAAATATCCTGAGGGAAAAAATCAGGAGTTTCAAGGACAGGGAAGATCCACCAGGATCTTCAAAACAAATCCCTTTTTTCCTTTTTTTTTGGTATTTTTTTGGTGACATTTCTGGCTTCGCTTCCTGTTAGACAAATCCCTTTTTTCCTTTTTTTTTTTGGTATTTTTTTGTGACATTTCTGGCTTCGCTTCCTGTTAGGAATTTCCAAAATTTGGAAGGGTTGCAAAAAATCTCCATCTCCCTTGACAGACCAAATTTGATGATTTCAAGCTTCTTAACGCCCACCAAAAATTCCAAGAAAAAGGTTTTTTCCCAGTTATTTTCAGCATTATCCAGAGTAAAGGATGTGCTGGAAGCAACTTCCAACTTTTTTGGCCTGACTTTTAGCCACTAAAAAATGGGAATATCCTTAAAATCTGCACATTTTTATCCTAGTGGGAGCACAAATTCATTTTATGTATTTTATAAATACATATAAAATGAAAAATTGAGCCAGAGGAATGTTCCCTGGTGAGCCAGTGTCAGGAAAAAAAAGATTTTCTCCTTCTTGATGCTCAGCCAAAACAGGAATAATAAATCCATTGATTTTTCCACCACCAAATCCCTCTTCCCCAAGGGATTTTCCATCTCTTTTACCATCACAAGTCATGTTGTATTTCTTCTCTGCGTCTCCATCCAGCTTCTTCATGTTGTGCCAAATCTCTTTGGCCTCTTCCACGTTGATCTAGAATGGGAAAACAGAAGGATTGGGATAAAATCACGGAATAAAAATAAAATTATGGAATGGTTTGGGCTGGAAAGGGCCTCAAAGCCCATCCAGTGCCACCCCATCCATGGACAGGGACATTTTCCTCTACCCCAGGCTGCTCCAGCCTGGCCTTGGACATTTCATGGATCCAGCCCCAGCTGCTCTGGCAATTCCAGCCCAGCCAGCAATTCCTCATTCCCAAGATCCATCCCTGCCCTCTGGCAGAGGGAAGCCATTCCCAAAAAGCCCCAGAAACATTTTTTCCCATCCCAAGCAGCTCCTCAGATCCACAAGGATTTGGTGAGGAGATTGGCTGGAAGTATTTTTTAGGGAAAAAAGGGATTATCCCTTTTATCCCAAACATCATCTTCCTCCCAGTCTTTGATTTCTCCTCCCAATCCTTTGATTCCTTCTCCCAATCTTTGGATTCCTTCTCCCAATCTTTGGATTCCTTCTCCCAATCTTTGGATTTTCCTCCCAGTCTTTGATTCCTCCTCCCAGTCTTTTGATGATTCTTCTTCTTCCCAATATTTTGATTTTCCTCCTCCCAACCTTTTTATTTTCCTCCCAATCCTTTGATTCCTCCTCCCAATCTTTGGATTTTCCTCCCAACCTTTGGATTTTCCTCCCAGTCTTTGATTTCTCCTCCCAATCCTTTGATTCCTTCTCCCAATCTTTGGATTCCTTCTCCCAATCTTTGGATTCCTTCTCCCAATCTTTGGATTTTCCTCCCAGTCTTTGATTCCTCCTCCCAGTCTTTTGATGATTCTTCTTCTTCCCAATATTTTGATTTTCCTCCTCCCAACCTTTTTATTTTCCTCCCAATCCTTTGATTCCTCCTCCCAATCTTTGGATTTTCCTCCCAACCTTTGGATTTTCCTCCCAACCTTTGATTTCTCCTCCCAATCTTTGGATTCCTTCTCCCAATCTGTGGATTCCTTCTCCCAATCTTTGGATTCCTTTTCTCAACCTTTTGATTTTCCTCCTCCCAACCTTTGGATTTTCCTCCCAGTCTTTGATTCCTCCTCCCAGTCTTTTGATGATTCTTCTTCTTCCCAATATTTTGATTTTCCTCCTCCCAGTCTTTGGATTCCTCCTCCCAACCTTTGGATTTTCCTCCCAGTCTTTGATTCCTCCTCCCAGTCTTTTGATGATTCTTCCTCTTCCCAATATTTTGATTTTCCTCCTCCCAGTCTTTGGATTCCTCCTCCCAACCTTTGGATTTCTCCTCCCAACCTTTGGATTTCTCCTCCCAGTCTTTTTATTTTCATCCCAACCTTTTGATTCTTCCTCCTCCCAACCTTTTTATTCCTCCTCTATCCAATATTTTGATTTTCCTCCTCCCAACCTTTTGATTTTCCTCCTCCCAACCTTTTGATTCCTCCTCCTCCCAACCTTTTGATCCCTCCTCCCAGTTCCTTTGGAATGTTTCTTCCAGCCTCTGATTTCTTCCAAAGCTCAGGACTGACCCAACCCTTTCTCTGGCTGAAGGATTGATTCCCCAGTACCAATTTTCTTCCTAAATTTCTGTGGAACATGGGAAGATCCCTGCCAATCCACATCTTGGGAAGGAGGATGAACATGAATTATTTTATAAAATCATGGAATGGTTTGGGTTGGAAGAGACCTCAAAGCCCATCCATGCACCCACCCATGAGCAGGGACATTTCCCACTATCCCAGACCTCCCCAAACCCCATCCAACCTCAGAAAATTCCAGAGGCTCCATCCCAAAAACTCACTCTCTTCTCCTCTCTGCTCACTTGCTGCATCTGCCCATGAGTGTTTTTGAACCACAGGGGCGTGTGCTCCTCACAGATCTCCTCATCTGAGGAGGAGAAGAAGTTTTCCAAGGTTTGGGACACTGTTTTCCCTCTCACAAACAGGGACTGGCCCTCCCTGTTCCGCAGGAGGAAGCTGATGGAATAAACGGACAGCTTGGAGAAGTTCAGCTTGCCTTTCTCTTTGTAGCTGTGCCAGAGGGACAAAAAACACAAAAAAACACAAAAAAAGACAAAAAAAGACAAAAAAAGGAGAAAAAAAGACAAAAAAAGAGTTAAAATACACAGAAATCCTTTTTTTTTGTGCACTGTCCTTGGAAAAAGCTCAATAACTGGAAATATTGGAAAATATCCCAATTCATTCTAATAATGGAATATCCTTAAATCTGCACAGATTTGTCCTGGTGGAAGCACCAATTTCTGGATTTTAAACATTTTAGACAAGGACAATTGAGCTCATCCTTGGAATTCCAGAGTGTTTGCAGTGCCAGGGAATAGGATTTTCCTGCTTTTCCAGGTCATGGCTCATTTTCCTTCCTACTCCCAACTTAAATGTGCCAGCATTGGACAGAAATTGGATCATGAACACAGCTCAGGACAAGGAAATGGATCCTCTGGAAAAGGAATTGATCCTCAGGAAAAGCAGCACTTGCAGCAGTTGCAGCATTCCAGGGGGAATGGGAAGTGGGAAAACCTCATTCCCAGTGGATTTCCACCTCCCAAACCATTCCTTGGCTTTGGGGTGCTCCCATGGAAGCTAAAATCCCTGCAGCATCCCACTGCATCCATCTGGAAACCAGAAATGACAAAATTCCCATCATTTGTGCTGCCTCAAAGCTTGGGATTTTCCCTCAAAACCACTTCCCCTTCCTCATCCTTTCCCTGCTTCCACAAGAGAACTGGAATTCCCCACTCACTGTCTCCCAATGCTCCCAAAGGCCAAGGAGTGGAAGGTCTTGCAGGTGACATTCCTTGGGAAAACCTTTTTCCCCTTCTCTGCTACAGCTTTGTTAAAAGTCAGGTAAAGGAACTTCAGCTCTGAGAATTTCTCCGCGTACTTGACCAAGGTTGAGGTTTTCCCTGTGCCTGGAGAGAGGAAAAGAAGGAATAAAACAAAAATAAGGAATAAAATATCCACGGTCAGGAATGAATTATTCCATGTATTTTAATTTTTTTACACCTCCTTCTCCTGCTGTCCCAACTCCAATATTCCACCTCAATCCTGATTTCAGAGAATCAGGGAATTACTTGGGTTGGCGAAGTTCTTTAACCATTCCCAGCACTCCCAAGGCCATCCATGTCCCCAAGTGCCACATCCACAGGGTTTTTAAATCCCCCCAGGAATGGGGACTCCACCCCTGCCTGGGCAGCTGAGCCAGGGCTGGATAAGGCTTTGCATGGAGGAATTGTCCGAGTATCCAACCTAAACCTTCCCTGGCACAGCTTTAGGATCTGCCCACGCCAGTGTGGGTCCCTTTCCATGGGGTCAGTGCTCCAGGAACTGCTCCCTTTATCCATGGGGTCAGTCCTTCAGGAACTGCTCCCTTTATCCATGGGGTCAGTCCTTCAGGAACTGCTCCCTTTATCCATGGGGTCAGTCCTTCAGGAACTGCTCCCTTTATCCATGGGGTCAGTCCTTCAGGAACTGCTCCCTTTATCCATGGGGTCAGTCCTTCAGGAACTGCTCCCTTTATCCATGGGGTCAGTCCTTCAGGAACTGCTCCCTTTATCCATGGGGTCAGTCCTTCAGGAACTGCTCCCTTTATCCATGGGGTCAGTCCTTCAGGAACTGCTCCCTTTATCCATGGGGTCAGTCCTTCAGGAACTGCTCCCTTTATCCATGGGGTCAGTCCTTCAGGAACTGCTCCCTTTATCCATGGGGTCAGTCCTTCAGGAACTGCTCCCTTTATCCATGGGGTCAGTCCTTCAGGAACTGCTCCCTTTATCCATGGGGTCAGTCCTTCAGGAACTGCTCCCTTTATCCATGGGGTCAGTCCTTCAGGAACTGCTCCCTTTATCCATGGGGTCAGTCCTTCAGGAACTGCTCCCTTTATCCATGGGGTCAGTCCTTCAGGAACTGCTCCCTTTATCCATGGGGTCAGTCCTTCAGGAACTGCTCCCTTTATCCATGGGGTCAGTCCTTCAGGAACTGCTCCCTTTATCCATGGGGTCAGTCCTTCAGGAACTGCTCCCTTTATCCATGGGGTCAGTCCTTCAGGAACTGCTCCCTTTATCCATGGGGTCAGTCCTTCAGGAACTGCTCCCTTTATCCATGGGGTCAGTCCTTCAGGAACTGCTCCCTTTATCCATGGGGTCAGTCCTTCAGGAACTGCTCCCTTTATCCATGGGGTCAGTCCTTCAGGAACTGCTCCCTTTATCCATGGGGTCAGTCCTTCAGGAACTGCTCCCTTTATCCATGGGGTCAGTCCTTCAGGAACTGCTCCCTTTATCCATGGGGTCAGTCCTTCAGGAACTGCTCCCTTTATCCATGGGGTCAGTCCTTCAGGAACTGCTCCCTTTATCCATGGGGTCAGTCCTTCAGGAACTGCTCCCTTTATCCATGGGGTCAGTCCTTCAGGAACTGCTCCCTTTATCCATGGGGTCAGTCCTTCAGGAACTGCTCCCTTTATCCATGGGGTCAGTCCTTCAGGAACTGCTCCCTTTATCCATGGGGTCAGTCCTTCAGGAACTGCTCCCTTTATCCATGGGGTCAGTCCTTCAGGAACTGCTCCCTTTATCCATGGGGTCAGTCCTTCAGGAACTGCTCCCTTTATCCATGGGGTCAGTCCTTCAGGAACTGCTCCCTTTATCCATGGGGTCAGTCCTTCAGGAACTGCTCCCTTTATCCATGGGGTCAGTCCTTCAGGAACTGCTCCCTTTATCCATGGGGTCAGTCCTTCAGGAACTGCTCCCTTTATCCATGGGGTCAGTCCTTCAGGAACTGCTCCCTTTATCCATGGGGTCAGTCCTTCAGGAACTGCTCCCTTTATCCATGGGGTCAGTCCTTCAGGAACTGCTCCCTTTATCCATGGGGTCAGTCCTTCAGGAACTGCTCCCTTTATCCATGGGGTCAGTCCTTCAGGAACTGCTCCCTTTATCCATGGGGTCAGTCCTTCAGGAACTGCTCCCTTTATCCATGGGGTCAGTCCTTCAGGAACTGCTCCCTTTATCCATGGGGTCAGTCCTTCAGGAACTGCTCCCTTTATCCATGGGGTCAGTCCTTCAGGAACTGCTCCCTTTATCCATGGGGTCAGTCCTTCAGGAACTGCTCCCTTTATCCATGGGGTCAATCCTTCAGGAACTGCTCCCTTTCCATGAGGTCAATCCTTCAGGAACTGCTCCTCCAAGGATTCCAGGGAGATCTCTACTCCAGCACCTGGAGCATCTCCTCTTCCTCCTTTCCCCAACTCAGGATCTGCAGGGCTGTTCCACATTTTCCCACTCTTCTCTCCCTTCTTTTCACTCTGCCTCCCTTTTTGGGAGATTTTCCCTCCATTTGTTATCCCAGAGGCACAAATGGATCCCCTTGGGATCTCACAATCCCTCAGCCAGAATTAACAGGGAGGGAAGGAGCAGATTGGGAATTGTCCAGGCATTTTCCCAACACTTTTGGCTCTTACCTGCAAATGCCATTATTTTCACTGTTTGGCCAGGCTCAATTTTGTGACTCAAAATCCTCTGCTGCTCATGGGTCAGTTTGACATCAGCCCATCCACTAAAAACAGGGAAAAAATTCCAATCAACAACTGGGGAATGAATGAATCCTTTAAAAATTCCTGAAGTAAACCATCCCACTTAAAAGAAATCAACAGGGAAGCCAGGATTGATTGATCCCATCCCAACCTGGTTATTGGGAAAAGGAGAAAAGCAGGGAATGAGAAAATACTGGAGATCAAATAAAAAGTTTTTGGAAGATTTTTTTAGGGAATACAGGAAAACATCACACACAAACAAAGAAAAGTATCTTTTGAAGGGAGCAAGCTGTGCTTTAAGAATTAATTTGGCACCTTAAGCTCATTAAAACCAGTTTTATCTCTGTTAGGCCTCAGTGCTGGATGAATTTATCCCATTCCCTCTGTCCAGGTGAGGATGAGGAATGAAATTCCTCAATCCAGCAGCAGAAAAGGAGCCCAGCTTGCATCTCCACAGCCAGGGAATGTTTTATTCCTCATTTTTTGGGAGAGCTGGGAATGTGCTGGAGCTCTGGGTGCTGGGGATTTCAGATTTCCTGTACTGACAGACTCTGACTGATAGGAGAACTCTGCATTTCACCTAAGGTGTGGGGAACACTTCCTAAATTAATTAACAGCACTGAGATTACAAGTGTCTGGCTTAATTAGAAGTGTGTTATACCACTACATAGAAAAATTGAGTTTAAAGTTTTAAAATATAGAAATATATTTAAAAGTAAAAAGTTTTAAGACAGTAACTAATCCTTTCTCTTTACCTTCTTCCCGAGTTTAAATAATGTTTTGTAATTAGACAAAAAATCCCACATTACAAACGTCAAATAATTAGTTATGAAATGAAAAGTAAAAATAATTTAAGTATCATTTCTTAATTAATTTAACCTTAAAAAAAACCTTATATAAAAATTAATTATTTTATAACTTATTAGTAAAATACTATAAAACTCTATAAACAACTTATAAATAAAAATAATAAACATCTAAAGCTAAACACAAAATGCCATCTCTAACACTTCAATTCCAACCTTAACCAGAAAAACCCCACAAAACCAACAGGAATGTTTAAAAAAACCTTATATAAAAATTAATTATTTTATAACCTATTAGTAAAATACTATAAAACTCTATAAACAACTTATAAATAAAAATAATAAACATCTAAAGCTAAACACAAAATGCCATCTCTAACACTTCAATTCCAACCTTAACCAGAAAAACCCCACAAAGCCAACCAAAAAAACCCCAAAAAACCAACAGGAATGTTCCCTGGAGAAGGGAAGGCTCCAGGGAGAGCTTCCAGCACATCGCAGGGGCTCCAGGAGAGCTGCAGAGGGACTGGGGACAAGGGACAGGAGCCAGGGAATGGCTGCCAGTGCCAGAGGGCAGCCATGGATGGGATCTTGGCCATGAGGAATTGCTGGCTGGGCTGGAATTGCCAGAGCAGCTGGGGCTGCCCCTGATCCCTGCAGTGCCCAAGGAAGGGTTGGAGCAGCCTGGGACAGGGGAGGTGTCCCTGGAAGGTTCCAAACCCTTCCACAATTCCAAGACAGACCCAGCAGCAAATTTCAACTCATCACTCCCAATTTTTACAGATCAAAGGCCCAATTTTGATTTTCCTCTGAGAATTCATGGGAAGGTGGTGAGGAGCAGGACCAGCTGTGCCACTGAGCCACCTCCACCTTTTCCTGCTGTGGAATATTTGGAATATTTGCTCCATGGAAAGCTCAGCATGCACTGCCAGGATCACCTGGGACACAAATCCATTCTTCCCTCTTCCAGGGGCTGCACAACTCCAGAGGCATTTTCCATCAGATATAAACAGTAGAAAATATTGTAGTGAATCCTGAAAAAAAAAGGATAAAACAGGAATTACCACTGAGAAATCATTAACAAATTAAACCTCTGCCACCACTTAAATATCCTGGATAATTAAAAAAATAAAGCCTCAAGCTCTGCAGGAAACAATGAATAATTTAAAATGTTCTTTAAATTTATTCTGCCCTGAGAAGTGACAGCAAAGGCACCGTGGGGACAGCTCTGAGTGTGGCCTCTCCCTCAGCCCTGCCAGGTTTGCATTCCAGGGTTTTCCATGAAAACAGGAGCTGGGATCAGAGTCCAGGGGATAACTCTGCCCTCCTGAGCCACAATTAACAGCAGATTTTGGTTTGGAATGGTTTTAGGGGAGGTTTTTAACTCTTAACAATCGTTTTTCACTTCACAAGGTTTTTAACTTAACAATCATCCCAATAATTCTTGGGGTTTTTCACTCTTTGGTTTTAACTATGTTGACAATAATTGGTTTAAAATTAACCTTGGCTCTCCAGCAGGGTTTTCCCACTGTGGTTCTCCCTCTTTTAGGGCAGTTTTTTTTCTTCCAGCCCTCCAGGACAGATTTTTGTGTTTCTCATCACGATTTGGACCCTCAGACTCATTAATTACTGCAAACAGCAATCAGGCAATTCCTCCAGGACACATTTCCTCCTTATTCCCTGGAGGAATTCCCACTTTTTCTGCCCTGGGCTGTCCAGGGAGATGGAAATTCTAAAATCCCTGGATTTTGACCTGGATCCCAGCTCTGGATGCTGGCCAGGGCCAATCCTGCCACATTTCCTGCAGGTTAATGACTTTACCCAGCAATTAATCAATCATTAACATTCCAAACAAACATCCCAGCTTCCCTCAGGACGAGCTTTTCCCTGTCCTGGAGTCCCTCAGAACTCACAGCTTCCAGAGCCATCTAATTCCTGCATATTTTCATTTTCCACTCAGTTCCTTCCCAATTTTCTCCCTGTGTACTTCATCCTTATCCCCACTGCAATCCTGAAGGAATCTCAAGGAAATCTCTGCACAGATCCCTTTTTTTTTGGGAACAAAAGGATCATGAGGGAGGGAGCTCCTAGGACTTGGAATGAAGTAAAATAAATCCATTTTGGGGAGGTAATAAAAATATTAAATTGTTGTAGTTGAGCAGGAATATTCTTTAAATCCTGCTTTCATTTTGGGAAAAAATTGGAGTTTTTTTGAATATTGCATCCTGAAAGGAGTGACAGGATAAGGGGGAATGCCAGAGGGATGGGATGGAGGGGAAATTGGGAAGGAATTCCTGGCTGGGAGGGTGGGGAAGCACTGGAATGGAATTCTCAGAGGAGCTGTAGCTGCCTCATCCCTGGAAGTGGCCAAGGCCAGGCTGGAGATCCAAATCCCCTGGGAACTGGAGGGATTTAAAACTCGAAGTTGGAGAGACCTCAGAGCCTCTTCCAGAGTCTAAAAGGGCTCCAGGAGAGAGACTTTGGGATCAAGGATGGACAGGACACAGGGAATGGCTTCAGACTGGACAAAAGGGAGATTTGGGGTGGATATTGGGAAGGAATTCCCAGAGAAGCTGCAGCTGCCTCATCCCTGAACATCCAAAGCCAGACTGGAGCAACTGGGGATGGTGGGAAGTGCCCAGGGCTGGAATGGGAAACTCCTGACCTGCTGGAGATGGGAATGCTGCTGATCTGCTGGGATTTGGAAACTCAAAGTTGGAGAGACCTCAGAGCCACTTCCAGGGCCTAAAGGGCTCCAGGAGAGAGACTTGGCCATGAGGAATTCCCAGAGCAGCTGGGGCTGCCTCATCCCTGGAATCATCCCAGGCTGCATTGGAGCAGCCTGGGGACGGTGGGAAGCGTGCAGGGCTGGAAGGGGGAGCTCCTGACCTGTTGGAGATGGGAATGCCCTGGTCCCTCATGGCCAGGAGCAGCGTGGCCATGCAGTGCAGCACCTCGGTGACCTCCAGCACGGCCAGCCCCGAGCGCGGGCTCCGGACACGCTCCAGCAGCCTCTGGATGTCACCAACACCATCAGAGAACAGCACCATGACAGCAAAGATGGCCCACATCTTCTCAGGCTGGGAAAGGACAGGAAAAGACAGCAGAAAGATTGGAGTTTCCAGCAAAATCCTGCTTGGAGGTGGAAAAATTCCATGAGGAGCTGTTAAATCCTAAATTGATGTCTTGTGAAGGCTGAGCTGGGACAGAGACTGGGCAGAGTCACAGAACAAATCAGGGATCGATGGAAAGGATCTCATCCATGGATGCACCTGGGGCAGCACCAGAGCCCAGCCAGGGCTGCACCCAGGATGAACCCAAATGGTCCCAAAATGAACCCAAATGGTCCCAAAATGAACCCAGGATGAACCCAAATGGTCCCAAAATGAACCCAAGATGAACCCAAATGGTCCCAAAATGCACCCAAGATGACCCCAAATGGTCCCAAAATACACCCAAGATGACCCCAAATGGTCCCAAAATGAACCCAAGATGAACCCAAATGGTCCCAAAATGCACGAGCGCTGCCGGGGTCTCTCCCTGGGCTCAGCTCTGCTCCATGTGCACATTGCAGTTCAGTGTCCAACCCCAGTGCAGCCCCTGCACTCCCATCCTTGTTTTTCTCTCTGCAGCCCACGGGCTTTGTGCTCCTGGGCTGGCATTGGGATCATTTGTCCTTGGTGCCCAGCCCAGCAGGAATTGTTTTGTGTCCCTGCTCTGTGCACAGAGCTCCCCATCCCATAATGGGAGCCCAGACCCACACCCCAAAGCAGCTCAGAATGTGGAAATAGAAAATTAAACCCTGGGGGATAATTGTCAGCCCAAATCATCCCAAATAACACCACAGAGGGAGGAGTTTGGGATACTGGAGGGCAGAGTGACCTCAAACAAGTTTTGGGATGGGTGAAAAAGGGAGGAGCCCATCCCATGTTTGCATCCTGTCCAGCTTTATCCCAATTTATGGGAATGGCATGAAGGAAAACCTGCATCTCCCCAAAAATGTGGGCTGAGCTCAGTTCCCAGGGCAATGCTGAGTGACTGCAGAGGTGCTGCCTGTTCCCAAGCCACTTTTTGTGGGATTTAGGGATCATTCCTTCCAGTTGTTTGCCTTGATTCCAGATGAACCAAAATCCATCAAAACAGAGCTCCAGGATTTTCCTCCAAATCCATTTGGTGACAAGAAACACCACAAACACACCAAAAGCTTGGGGAAACTGCAGGAATTTGTTAAAAAAACAGAAATAAGAGTGAAACTCACCCCATGGTTGCTCTTGAAATCTGGGAATTTGTTGAGGACACAGATTTGAGCCTTTGGGAAGAGGGGGTGACTCCCCAAAACCCGGAGAAGCGCGCTGGGATCCACCTTGGCTCCCGTGGATGACACCAACCTGTGAGGAGGAACAAGCTGGGATTTGCTCTCCAGGGAATTTGTGGCTCCTCCAAAGCACATCCTCCTAATTCTCACAGCAGGGACCCTTGGAGAGCCACTGAATTAATTAAAAATAATGTTAATAACTGGCAGAAGGGATTGCCTCTGGACAAAGAACATTGCACACAAATTAGTGTTTAATGAACTTTGTATATTGGTGAATTACCAAATACCTAAATTACAGAGAATTTAAAGATATTCATGTGTCTGGAGGTACTTTTTCAGGCACAGTTTTGACTTCTGCACTCACGGGGGAAGCAATCAATCACAGTTTTACATGAGACATATTTGAAAACACTTTGCTCAGAAGACAAACCTGGAAATTCCTGGGATCCGACAGAAGAAATCCCAAAGATGTGAGGATGTGCAGGTGCAAGGTGGACTCACCTGAGCAGCCCCAGCACGCAGCCCTGCTGCTCCCTGCTTATGGAGAACTGCTGCAGGATCTGCTGCAGCCTGTGCAGGGCTGAGCCCTCCCTCTGCACGTACTGCTGGTGGAGCTTCTTCCAAGGGATGAACTGCAACGGGAGCACAGGCAGCAGCTCTCACCTGGGGCACTCCAGAGGGGGCTTCCAGCGGGAAGGAGAGGAGAAAGGGGGGAGTGATGGGGGTCAAAAAGGAGCTGGGGGGGAAAGGGAGATGGGGAAGGAAAGGGGGAAAGAGAGGGGGGAAAAAGAGAGAAGAGGTGGGGAGAACAGAAGAGGGAAAAAGGGAAATAAAAGAGAGAGGGGGAATTCATGGATTGTGGGGAAAAAAAAGAGAGAAGGGGGAAAAAAAAGAGAGAAGGGGGAAAAAAAGAATAGGAGGGGGAAAAAAAGAAGAGGGAATTCATGGATTGTGGGAAAAAATCATGGGATTTACAGAAATGAGGCAAACAGGGCACGGATGAACCCATGAAATAATCCCAGAGGGCTCCTCACCCACAGATCCTGGATGCAGAGGAAACAACTTTTGGTCCAGAAGACCAAAAAAAACAAAGGTAGCAGACCTAAAAATTCCTGGATTTTGGGAAGAATTATGGGATCTAAAGAACAAAGGGAGGCATGGATGATCCTATGGGATCATCCCAGAGTGCTCCTTACCCGTGGATCTTGGATCTTTTGGTCAGAAGACCAAAAAGAAATGGTAGGAGACCTCAAAATTCCTGGATTGTGGGAAGAATGATGGGATTTAAAGGAACAAGGAGGCAGGCAGAGCAGGGCTGATCCCATGGGATGATCCCAGAGCACTCCTTCCCCACAGATCTTAGATACAGAGGAAACAACTTTTGGTCCAGACCAAAAAAAATGGCAGGAGACCTAAAAATTCCTGGATTTTGGGAAGAATGATGGGATTTACAGGAACAAGGAAACAGGCAGAGCAGGGCTGATCCCATGGGATGATCCCAAAATCCGAGGTGATTCCACAGGAATCATGGGAACCAAAATCTGGGATGATCCCAGAGCGTTCCTCACCCATGGATCTTGGATTTTGGATATAGGGCAGCAACTTTTGGTCCAGAAGACTAAAACCAGCAGGAAATCTAAAAATTCCTGGATTGTGGGAAGAATGCTGGATTTAAAGGAACAAGGAGGCAGGCAGAGCAGGGCTGATCCCATGGGATGATCCCAGAGCACTCCTTCCCCACAGATCTTAGATACAGAGGAAACAACTTTTGGTCCAGACCAAAAAAAATGGCAGGAGACCTAAAAATTCATGGATTTTGGGAAGAATTATGGATTTACAGGAACACGGAAACAGGCAGAGCAGGGCTGATCCCATGGGATGATCCCAAAATCTGAGATGATTCCATGGGAATCATAGGAGCCAAAATCTGGGATGATCTCATGGGATGATCCCGGAGCATTCCTTACCCGTGGATCTCAGATTTTGGATATAGGGCAGCAACTTTTGGTCCAGAAGACTAAAACCAGCAGGAAATCTAAAAATTCCTGGATTGTGGGAAGAATGCTGGATTTACAGGAACAAGGAGGCAGGCAGAGCAGGGCTGATCCCATGGGATGATCCCAGAATTCCTTACCTGTGGATCCTGGATTATCTCCCTCCAGCAGCGACACACCAGGCTCAGGCTCTGGTACAGATCCAGCACTGGCAGGAAAGCAAAAATATTCCTGAGGATTTCAGGAGGAAGATCATTCATGGATCCCTGAGGAACCTGCCAGCTCCGAGTGCCCAGGAGCCCGTAGTGGGAATCGGGAAGGGGCTCCACTTCCAGCTCTTCCCATTCCTGCTTGACCCCACTGAGCGCTGGAATTTTCTCCTCAGGTTCCTCCCAGAGATCCTGCTCTGCTTTGGGAATTCCTCTTTTGCTGGAATGTCCCATGGGAGGTGGCACCAAGTCCTGGGAATGCTGGGAAAGGGAGGGGCTGCTGAAGGAGTCAGGAGGTCCAGGGAAGAAGGGATCCAGGGGCTCTTCCTTGATCCCACAGCTGGGCATCCCAGCAGGTCCCACTTGTGGTGCCTTGGCGATCCCGAAGAAATCCGAGATTTTCCTCTGCCGGCCTGGTGCTGCACAAAGGGGAAAAGTGGGAATGAGTTCTGTGCAAATCAGGGAATGGGGAAGAATTCGGGATTTTGGAATGTTCCTTCCCTATCCCAGGCTGCTCCAGCCCCAGTGTCCAGCCTGGCCTTGGGCACTGCAGGGATCAGGGGCATCCCATCCATGGCTGCCCTCTGGCACTGGCAGCCATTCCCTGGCTCCTGTCCCTTGTCCCCAGTCCCTCTGCAGCTCTCCCGGAGCCCCTGGGATGTGCTGGAAGCTCTCCCTCCCCTCTGCAGGGACCATTCCCAGCAGTACCTCCGCGGTGTCTGGGTGTCCCGCGGGCGGGATGAAGGCCCCGGGCTGTCCCTCCTCCTCCTCCCTGGCACAGGGGCTGGCGCAGCGGGGCCGAGCCCGGGGCGCTCTGGGCCAGGGCCGCGCACTCGGGGGCCGTGAGCCGCCTCCTCCTGCAGCCCCGCATCCCTGCGGGGAATCCAGGGAAAACCCGCGCTGTGCTCCGCTCCATCCCTGCGGGGAATCCAGGGAAAACCCGCGCTGTGCTCCGCCCCCGGAGATCCCGGGGCACCAAGGGCTTGGGAGGGATGGGGGGAGGTGATTAGTGCGGATATCTGGGGTGTGCTCCGCCCCCGGAGATCCCGGGGCACCAAGGGCTTGGGAGGGATGGGGGGAGGTGATTAGTGCGGATATTTGGGGAATTATCCCCTTTGGATATTTGGGAAATTATCAAGTTTGGATATTTGGGAAATTATCAAGCTTGGATATTTAGGGTATCAGCTTGGATATTCAGAGTGTGATTTAGTTTGGGTATTTAGGGTATGATTTAGTGCGGATATTTGAATTATCAAGTTTGGATATTTGGGAAATTATCAAGTTTGGATAGTTAGGAAATTATCAAGTTTGGATATTTGGGAAATTATCCCCTTTGGATATTTAGGAAATTATCAAGTTTGGATATTTGGGAAATTATCCCCTTTGGATATTTAGGGTATCAGCTTGGATATTCAGAGTGTGATTTAGTTTGGATATTTAGGGTATGATTTAGTTTGGATATTTAGGAAATGATCTGGTTTGGATATTTAGGAAATGACCTGGTTTGGATATTTAGGAAATTATCTGGTTTGGATATTTAGGAAATTATTCCGTTTGGATATTCAGGGAATTATTCAGTTTGGATATTTAGGAAATTATTCAGTTTGGATATTTAGGGTATCAGTTAGTTTGGAAATATTTAGTTAGGAATTCCATCCCAGCCAGAAACTCCCAGAGAAGCTAATATAAATAAATATAAAATATAAATAAATATATAAAAATATAAATAAATGCTGGATATTTAGGAAATTATTTAGTTTTGATATTTAGGAAATTATTCAGTTTGGATATTTAGGAAATTATTCCATTTGGATATTCAGAGTGTGATTTAGTTTGGATATTTAGGAAATTATTTAGTTTTGATATTTAGGAAATGATTTAGTTTTGATATTTAGGAAATGATTCAGTTTGGATATTTAGGGTATGAATGAGTTTGGAAATATTTAGTTAGGAATTCCCAAAATAAAACAATAAAATAAAATAAAAAGAAAATTTGAAAATAAAATAAAACCAAAAAATAAAAAACTCAAAAAATCCAAAATAAAACAATAAAATAAAATAAAAAGAAAATTTGAAAATAAAATAAAACCAAAAAATAAAAAACTCAAAAAATCCAAAATAAAACAATAAAATAAAATAAAAATAAAATTTTAAAAATGAAATTAAATGAAATGAAATCACGAAGTCACTTTCACACGGAGGAAATAGGTTAAGAAAACTCTTTTTCATGGGATTGATGGAATTCTTTTATCCCTTTTTAAACTTTTAAGCATTTGAAAGAACAAGCCCTGTTGCTCCCAGCCTGGATCCAACATTCCAGCACCCAAACCGAGCCTTTCCACGCTGGGATCATTCTTCCTCACAGGAAATTTATCCCATTTACAGTTTAAAATAACCACCCTGGGAATTATTCCCACAAAAAACCAAACCTTGCTCGAACAGGCACAAACTCCTCTCTCCTGGCTCCAAAAAATCCCCCAAAAATGGAATTTTTCCCACAAAAGATCCCAACCCAGCAGGAACGGCTGCACAGGACGAGCAGCACTTTCACTTTTGCTTCATTAATTTATTTATTTCCATGTAACACGTCTGCAGCAGCCCCAAAAAGCTCCGTTTTCCTCTTAGGGCAGGACCCAAGGAGCAGCCTGCTCATTCCTTGGGATGATTCCAGGGTTTTTTCCCAGCCTGGATGATTTTTGGGATGTGCTGCTCCCTCCTGCTCAGCTCAGCAGAGCTAAAACCCCTCAGCTCCCCGGGGAGGCCATTTCCCAACATCCCAATTTCCTCAAAACTTCCCCAAACAGGGGAAATGAGGCAAATAAAAAGGAAAAAAAAACAAATTCAAGACACTCCCGAGGTTTTTAGGGATGTGCTGAGGGAATTTGGGGCTGGATTTGATGATCCTAACGACCATTTCCAACCAAAATCTACTTAAAAATGGAATTTCTCCCTCAGGCTTCACCTGCATCCCTGTTTTTCCCCGATTTCCCGTGTGGCTTCCAGGGTCAGACATTCCAGGATCAGAGGATGGAGGGAGAGGCTCCAGAGGGATGAGAAATATCTGGGAGGAAGCTGGAGCTGCTCCCTTTTCCCCCCAGGATGCCCTTTCCAAACCCTTTTCCCACACGGATGCACCGGCCTCGTCCAGAGGGTCCCCTCCTTCCCAGGCCCCCCCATTCCCAAAGCCCCAATTCCAAGGATTCCTGCATTCCCAAGGAATTCCCTGCTCAGACAAGAGTCCCTCTGCTCACTCCTCCACCCCGTTATCCCTTTGGCAAACCCTCAAATCCCAAGGATTCCTCCATTTCCAAGGGTCCCCCCCAAATCCCAAGGATTCCCCCATTCCCAAAGGTCCCCTCAAATCCCAAGGATTCCCCCATTTCCATGGCTCTCCTCAAATCTCAAGGATTTCTCCATTTCCAAAGGTCTCCTCAAATCCCACAGAATCCTCCATTTTCAAGGGTCCCCCCAAATCCCAAGGATTCCCTCATTCCCAAGGCTCTCCTCAAATCTCAAGGATTTCTCCATTTCCAAAGGTCTCCTCAAATCCCAAGGATTCGATTCCCCCATTCCCAAGGGTCCCCTCAAATCCCGGGATTGCCCCATTCCCAAAGGTCCCCTCAAATCCCAAGGATTCTCCCATTCCCAAGGGTCCCCTCATACCAAAGGATTCCCTCAAATCCCAAGGATTCGATTCCCCCATTCCCAAGGGTCCCCTCAAATCCCAGGGATTGCCCCATTCCCAAAGGTCTCCTCAAACCCCAAGGATTCCTCCATTCCCAAGGGTCCCCTCATACCAAAGGATTCCCTCAAATCCCAAGGATTCCCCCATTCCCAAAGGTCCCCTCAAATCCCAAGGATTCCCCCATTTCCATGGGTCTCCTCAAATCTCAAGGATTTCTCCATTTCCAAAGGTCCCCTCAAATCCCAAGGATTCCCCCATTTCCATGGGTCTCCTCAAATCTCAAGGATTTCTCCATTTCCAAAGGTCCCCTCAAATCCCAAGGATTCCCCCATTCCCAAGGGTCCCCCCAAATCTCAAGGATTCCCCCATCCCCAAAGGTCCCCCCAAATCCCAAGGATTCCCCCATTTCCATGGGTCCCCTCAAATCTCAAGGATTTCTCCATTTCCAAAGGTCTCCTCAAATCCCACAGATTCCTCCATTTTCAAGGGTCCCCCCAAATCCCAAAGATTCCCTCATTCCCAAGGGTCCCCCCAAATCTCAAGGATTCTCCCATTCCCAAGGGTCCCCCCCAAATCCCAAGGATTCCCTCATTTCCATGGGTCTCCTCAAATCCCACAGATTCCTCCATTTTCAAGGGTCCCCCCAAATCCCAAGGATTCCTCCATTCCCAAGGGTCCCCTCATACCAAAGGATTCCCTCAAATCTCAAGGATTCCCCCATTCCCAAGGGTCTCCTCAAACCCCAAGGATTCCTCCATTCCCAAGGGTCCCCTCATACCAAAGGATTCCCTCAAATCAAAAGGATTCCCCCAATTCCCAAGGATTCCCTCATTCCCAAGGGTCCCCCCCAAATCCCAAGGATTCCCTCATTTCCATGGGTCTCCTCAAATCCCAAGGATTCCCCCATTCCCAAGGGTCCCCTCAAATCCCGGGATTGAAGGATTCCTCCATTCCCAAGGGTCCCCTCATACCAAAGGATTCCCTCAAATCAAAAGGATTCCCCCAATTCCCAAGGATTCCCTCAATTCCCAAGGCACCTTCAAAGCCCCCTCAGTGCCAATGCCCCAGCTCCAAGGATTCCCTCATTCCCAAGGAATTCCCTTTTAACCCCTTCTCCGCCAAGAGCCCCCCTGGTCACTCCCCCATCCTGTGACGCCTCATTTCCAATCCCTCAGTTCCAAGGATTCCCCATTTTCCAAGGGTCCCCTCAGGCCGAAGGAGCCGCCATTCCCAAGGTCCCCTCAATGCCCAAGCTCCCCGCAGTGCCAAACACCCCTTTCATACCAAATCCCCCCTCATTCCCGAGGGTGCCCTCAATCCCAAACCCCCCAATCCCAAGGATTCCCCCATTCCCAATGGCGCCCCCAATGCCACAGCAGCCTCCATTCCCAAGCTCCCCTCACAGCCAAAGGTCCCCCGCCGTGCCAAATGCCCTTTGAATATCACTCCCCCGCCTTTGCCAAGGGTGCTCTCAGTGCCAATCCCTCATTTCCAGGGATCCCCTCATTCCCAAGGGCCCCCACATTCCCAAAGGAACCCCATTTCCAAGGGAACCCCCTCCCGGCCCCCCCCCCACGCTGCCCATTAATGGTCGCGCCCTCTCCCCCCGGCCTCACCGGCTCCCGGCGCTCCCGGCACCGCGCGCTCCGCCGGCCCCGCCCCCTCCCCGCTGTCCAATCAGAACCCGGAGCAGCGCCCAGCGCTGTCCAATGGCGCGGCGCTTCCGGGTTGGGCGGGGTTTATTTACTTCTCCCCTTGGCGGTGACGTCAGTGCCTCCGCGCGTGACGTCACGAGCGCTCCGCGGCGCGCGGGTGGGTTGGGAAAAAGCCGGGAATTTTCCCGCGGGAATTGCGCGGCCTGGGATGGGCTGGGGAGGGAATGGGGGGGGATCCCAGACTGGGGGAGAGCCCCTTCCCGGGAGCCCCGAAGGAAACGGGAATTTCCCTTTTTTTCCTGAGGAAAAAGGAATTTTGGGGTTTTTTTCCTGAGGCAAGGAGGAATTTTATTTTTTTTTCCTTGAGGAAAAAGCGAATTTCCCGTTCGTTTGGGAGGGAAAAGGGAATTGCTGCTTTTCCTGGAGGAGGGGTCGGTGTCTGACTGTCCACAGGGAAAAAGAAATGACTCGTTTTTCAGAGGAAAAAGGGGATTTCAGGTTTTCCTCACTGAAAAAGAAAATTATGTATTTCCAGCCGGTTTCCGGCTTTCCTAAGAGGGACAGGAATTTTCGAGTTTTCCCAGAGAGAATGGAAATTTCTGTGTTATCAGGGGGAGAGGCTGGTGTCTAATTTTCCTGAGGGAAAATTGAAATTCCTGGTTTTCTTGAAGGACAAACCCATTCCTGATTCTCCATATGAAAAAGCAAAGTTCTGTTTTTCCTGATGGAGTGGCTAATTCCTTGTTTTCTCAAGGAAAAAGGAAGTTCCTGGTTTTCCTAAAGGAAGAGGGAATTTCAGGTTTTCTGGAGGAAGAGGTGGAGTCCTGGTTTTCTTGAGTAAAAAGAAATTGCTCATTTTTCCCTGAGGAAAAAGGGAATTTCAAGATTTGCTGAGGGAGACTCTGGTTTCTGATTTTCCTAAAGAAAAAAAAAGGAATTTCTTTTTGCCTAAAGGAGATGCAGCTTTCCTGTTTACCTGAGGGAAAGGCTGATTTGTGGTTTTCCAGAGGGAAAAATGAATTTCTGCTTTTCCAGAGGGAGCATTTGGTTCCTGGGCATCCCAATGGAAAAATGAAGCTTCTGGTTTTCCTGAGGGAAAAGGGACTTTCTATGGGAAAGGTCAGATCCTGGATTTCCTAAGGAAAAGAAAATCCTGTTTTCTGGAGGGAGATCAGACCCTAATTTTCCCAAGGAAAAAATGGAATTTCTGCTTTTACTGAGGGGTACCTGGATTTCCTAAGGAAAAGAAAATCCTGTTTTCTGGAGGGAGAGATCAGATCCTAATTTTTCCCAAGGAAAAAATGGAAATTCTGCTTTTACTGAGGGGTGACTGCTTCCTGGATTTCAGAGGGAGAGGAAAATTCCCACTTTCCCTGAAGGAGGGGCCAGATCCCGGTTTTCTGAAGGACAATTTTTAATTATCCAGAGGGAGAAGGCAATTTCTGCCCATCCTGAGAGAGAGGCTGATCTGGGGATTTCCTGAGGGAAAATTTCCCATTTTTCTGGCAGTAGACACCAGGCTCTGCTTCTCCTGAGGGAAAACCTCATTCCCACCTATCCCAATGGCCCAAACCAACCAAGATACCCCCCAAAATCTTGATTTTTTTTACCTCTTTCCCCTCAGGCCCGGCTCCATGGCAGAGCAGGAGAGGCCATGGCAGCTCCTGAGGCTGGTCCAGGAGGGAAACCTGGATGTGCTGTGGGATTTGTGGACTTCCTGAGGGAAAAATTCACATTTTTTCTGGAAGTAAGCACCTGGTTCTGCTTCTCCTGAGAGAAAACCTAAGGATTTGTGGATTTCCTGAGGGAAAAGTTCCCATTTTTCTGGAAGTAGGCACCAGGTTCTGCTTCTCCTGAGGGAAAACCTCATTCCTGCTTATCCCAACACCCCAAACCAACCAGGACATCCCCCCAAAATCCCAATTTTTGGGTCTCTTTCCCCTCAGGCCCGGTTCCATGGCAGAGCAGGAGAGCCTGTGGTGACTCCCGAGGTTGGTCCAGGAGGGAGACCTGGATGTGCTGTGGGATTTGTGGATTTCCTGAGGGAAAAGTTCCCATTTTTCTGGAAGTAGGCACCAGGTTCTGCTTCTCCTGAGGGCAAACCTTATTCTTCCTTATCCCAACCCCCAAACCAACCACACTATCCCCCAAAAATCCCCAATTTTTTACCTCTCTCCCCTCAGGCCCGGCTCCATGGCAGAGCAAGAGAGGCCGTGGCAGCTCCTGAGACTGGCCCAGGAGGGAAACCTGGATGTGCTATGGGGTTTGTGGATTTCCTGAGGGAAAAATTCTCTTTTTTCTGGAAGTAGACACCAGGCTCTGCTTCTTCTGAGGGAAAACCTAAGGATTGTTGGATTTCCTGAGGGAAAAATTCCCATTTTTCTGGAGGTAGACACTAGGCTCTGCTTCTCCTGAGGGAAAACCTAAGGATGTGTGGATTTCCTGAGGGAGAAGTTCCCATTTTTCTGGAAGTAAGCACCTGGTTCTGGTTTTCCTGATGGAAAACCTCATTCCTGCTTATCCCAACCCCCAAATCAACCAGGACATCCCATAAAATCCTGATTTTTTACCTCTTTCCCCTCAGGCCCGGCTCCATGGCAGAGCAGGAGAGACCAAGGCAGCTCCTGAGGCTGGTCCAGGAGGGAAACCTGGATGTGCTGTGGGATTTGTGGATTTCCTGAGGGAAAAGTTCCCATTTTTCTGGAAGTAGGCACCAGGTTCTGCTTCTCCTGAGGGCAAACCTTATTCTTCCTTATCCCAACCCCCAAACCAACCACACTATCCCCCAAAAATCCCCAATTTTTTACCTCTCTCCCCTCAGGCCCGGCTCCATGGCAGAGCAAGAGAGGCCGTGGCAGCTCCTGAGACTGGCCCAGGAGGGAAACCTGGATGTGCTGTGGGATTTGTGGATTTTGTGAGGGAAAAATTCCCATTTTTCTGGAGGTAGACACTAGGCTCTGCTTCTCCTGAGGGAAAACCTAAGGATGTGTGGATTTCCTGAGGGAGAAGTTCCCATTTTTCTGGAAGTAAGCACCTGGCTCTGCTTTTCCTGATGGAAAACCTCATTCCTGCTTATCCCAACCCCCAAATCAACGAGGATATCCCCCCAACGCAGCCTCTGCTTCTCCTGAGGGAAAACCTCTTTCCTGCTTATCCCAACACCCCAAATCAACCACAATGTCTCCCAAGATCCCCATTTTTGGGCTTCTTTCCCCTCAGGCCCAGCTCCATGATGGAGCAGGAGAGGCTGTGGTGACTCCTGAGGCTGGTCCAGGAGGGAAACCTGGCTCTCCTACGGGATGAGCTGAGGCTGGATGAGATTCCAGAGGCTCCCAGCTGGCGCTGGGGACGTTTGGGAGATTCCCTGCTGCACCACGCAGCTCGCTTGGGACACCGGGATGTGCTGGAATTCCTGGTCCTGGAGATTGGGATGGACATGGAAGTGACCAATGGGGACTACAAGAGACCCCTCCATGAGGCTGCTTCCATGGGACACCAGGAATGTGTGTCCTTCCTCCTGGAGAGAGGGGCGAGCGTGGACTGCTTGAAAAAGGCTGACTGGTAGGTGCTGGGATTTGGGATTGGGTGGGGAAGGTGGGAATGTGGCTGCCAGAGGCAGTTTGGGATCGTGGGATGGATAGGAAGGAGCTTAGGGATCATCCAGGGCCACCTGGGGTACCTTTCCCTATCCCAGGCTGGTCCAGCCCCAGAATCCAGCTTGGACATTCCAGGGATGCAGGGGCAGCCCCAGCTGCTCCTGGAGCAGCTCCATGGATTCCTCTGGATTTGCTCCAGCAGCTCCAGGTCCTTGCATTGGGATCCCAGAGCTGGACTCCATGTGGGATCACCTGAGTGGAGCAGAGGGGCAGAATTCCCTTCCCCGGCTGCCCACACTGTGGATCCATTTGGATTTTTGGGAGAAATTCCAGCCTTATCCCTGCTTTGCCCCCGTTTCTCCAAAAAGCTGTAAATTACTGCTCCACTCTTCCCTTAGGGATGGGGATTTCTGGAAAAGGAAAGCAAGGATTCCCCTCAGCTCCCAGCTGAAGGCCTGGGAAGGTCCTTTGCAGCTGAACTGCCACAAGCCCAAAGGCAGCATTCCAGAGTGGGAATTGAGGCTGTGCCAGCCTGGAGCTGAGGCCAACATTCCATGAGCCTGGATTTGTGTGGCCGTGCTCTTCCACCCATGGATTAACACCAGGGAGCTCTGCGCTTCCTAAGGCATATCCAAACCTTTGGAAAAAGTCAAATTTGCCTTAAAAACACAGAATGCTCTGAGGGACTGCATGGAAAAGGAGCTGGAGTATTCCCAGCCTGGAACAACAGTGCTGTAAAATCTCCTGGCTCCTCAGGCAAAGCACCTGAATCACATTTGTCATCCCAGGTTATTTTATTTCCCTGGATCTCCTTCCAGGACTCCCCTGATGATGGCTTGCACCAGGAAAAACTTGGGAGTGATCAAAACTCTGGTGGAGCACGGAGCCAACCCGTTGCTGAGGAACAAGGATGGCTGGAATTGCTTCCACATTGCCAGCAGGGAAGGGCATCCCGAGGTGCTCCAGTACCTCCTGGATGTGTCCCCAAGCTGCTGGGACACGGAGAGCACCACGGGGAGAACTCCTCTGCACACAGCAGGTACAGCAGGGAGGGAGCCAGGGAAACCTCTGGAATCTCATCCAGCCTCAGGAAATCCCCTAGGAGATCCAGGTTTCCCTCCTGGACCAGCCTCAGGAGCTGCCATGAGCTCTCCTGCTCTGTCATGGAGCCAGGATTGAGGGGAAAGAGGCAAAAAATCAGGATTTTGTGGGATGTCCTGGTCGAATTGGGATATTGGGATAAGCAGGAATGAGGTCTTCCCTCAGGAGAAGCAGAGGCTGCTGTCTACTTCCAGAAAAATGGGAATTTTCCCCTCAGGAAATCCACAAATCCCACAGCACATCCAGGTTTCCCTCCTGGGCCGGCCTCAGGAGCTGCCATGGCCTCTCCTGCTCTGCCATGGAGCCGGGCCTGAGGGGAAAGAGACCCAAAAATTGGGATTTTGGGGGGATGTCCTGGTTGATTTGGGGTGTTGGGATAAGCAAGAAAGAGGTTTTCCCTCAGGAGAAGCAGAACCTGGTGCCTACTTCCAGAAAAATGTGAATTTTTCCCTCAGGAAATCCACAAATCCTTAGGTTTTCTCTCAGGAGAAGCAGAGGCTGCTGTCTACTTCCAGAAAAATGTGAACTTTTCCCTCAGGAAATCCACAAATCCCACAGCACATCCAGGTTTCCCTCCTGGACTGGCCTCAGAGGCTGCCACGGCCTCTCCTGCTCTGCCACAGAGCCAGGCCTGAGGGGAAGGAGGCAAAACATTGGGGATTTTGGGGGATAGTGTGATTGGTTTGGGAGATTGGGATAAGCAGGAATGAGTTTTTCCCTCAGGAGAAGCAGAGCCTGCTGCCTACTGCCAGAAAAATGGGAATTTTTCCCTCAGGAAATCCACGAATCCTTAGGTTTTCCCTCAGGAGAAGCAGAGCCAGGTGCTTACGTCCAGAAAAAAAACAGGAATTTTTCCCTCAGGAAATCCACTAATCCCACAGCACATCCAGGTTTCCTCCTGGACCGGCCTTAGTAGGTGCCACAGGCTCTCCTGCTCTGCCATGGAGTCAGGCCTGAGGGGAAAGGGGCCAAAAATTCAGGATTTTGGGGGGATATTGTGGTTGGTTTGGGAGATTGGGATAAGTAGGAATGAGTTTTTCCTTCAGGAGAAGCAGAGCCTGCTGCCTACTTCCAGAAAAATGGGAATTTTTCCCTCAGGAAAATCAAGAATCCTTAGGTTTTCCCTCAGGAGGAGCAGAACCAGGTGCTTACTTCCAGAAAAATGGGAATTTTTCCCTCAGGAAATCCACAAATCCCACAGCACATCCAGGTTTCCCTCCTGGGCCAGCCTCAGGAGCTGCCATGGCCTCTCCTGCTCTGCCATGGAGCCAGGCCTGAGGGGAAAGGGGCCAAAAAATGGGGATTTTGGGGAGATATTGTGGTTGGTTTGGGAGATTTGGATAAGTAGGAATTAGGTTTTCCCTCAGGAGAAGTAGAACTAGGTGCTTACTTCCAGAGAAATGGGATTTTTTTCCCTCAAGAAATCCACAAACTGATCTTTTCGAATTCTTGGGATCCTTGGATCAAGTTCATCTCTCCCTGGCACAGATGGATCTTAGCTCCCTTGGGATATGGATATGATTTTCCTTCCTGGTGTGAAAAGCTGGGAACTGCTCCTGGAAAACCTCCCCAGCTCCAAACACATCCCGGCATTTGCAATTCCTGAAAGCAGCAGAGCTGCTGAGGGGGACTTTTTGGGATCTGCCTGGGGATGGATTTCTTCATCACAGCCTCAAGTTGACCTGGGGAGGTTCAGGTGGGATATTGGGAAAATTCCTTCCTGGAAAAGCTTGTAAGCATTGGGATGAGCTGCTCAGGGCAGTCCCCATTCCTGGAGGGATTTAAAATCCACGTGGATGTGGCACTTGGGGACAGTGCCAGTGGTGGCTTTGTTAGTGCTGGGAATGGTTGTGCTCAAGCACTTTCCCAACCAAAATGACTCCATGATTCCTAATAAACTCCAAATTTTGGAGTCCCCTTGCTCTCATGCCATGGTGAGAATTCCAGGAGTCCTTTCCGAGGAGGGGAGGACAATCCCTGCTGGGAATACACAGGAGCCCACCATATCCAATTCCCTTTCCCTGCCCTTTTCCTTGCTTTTAAGGGATATTTAAAGAGAATGGGCAGCTTTAGGAATCCCAGCCATCCTCAGGATTGTTGGGAAGCACAAGAGGGCTCAGCCCACATCCAGAGTGGGAATCAGGCTGTGCATTCCAGGTCTCAGCAGCAGAGATGAGCCCTGGCTACCCAAACTCCTTTCCCAAAGGATTTAATTGGGATTGACTGCCTGGAAAATCCCGAGGTGTTGGGAGGAGCCCCTGCTGTGCTGTCACTCCCGTGGCTTCCCCAGCCCTTGCTCTGTCACTCCTGGCTCATCAGCAGTGACAATTCCAGCCCTGGGGCACCACTGAGTCCTTGTGCTTGACCTGGGAATGAAAAAAACAGGGAATGAGTTGTTGGGATCACAGCAGGTTGCCTGAAGTGGCTGATCCCATTTTTTTTTTATGTTCTCCCATCCCTGCCCAATTCCAGGTGTTGTTTCCATGGAGCTGGCAGCTCCTCTCCCTGCAGGAGGTGGATGTTGGGTTGGGATTTGGAGGCTGAGGGGATGGGACAGTGTGAGGAGCAGGGTGAGCTCTGGGATTTGGGATTATCCTGTGGGAAAGGGGGAATTCTGACCTTGGGCCAAAGTCATCTCCCCGCCTTGGGATATGGGAATACAATTGGGATCCAGCACTTGGATTCTGCTTCCTGGAGGTGTCTCCACCTGTGTTTTCTTTGGCAGAGCCACCAATCCACAATTTGGGTGGATTCCTGGAATTTCCTGACCCTGGAGCAGCAGCTGGAGTGGGAGTGACTGGGAATTGGGAAGGGCTGGAATTAGGAAATTATGGAATTAGGTCTTAACCCCCCAGTGCAATTTGATCCCAAACTGCTGCTCCCTGGCTTCCCCACACTTATCCCAGGGGATATTCCCAGTTCCCAAGGCAGGAGCAGGGGTGGGGGGCTGGAGATGGTGTTGGAGCTGCCAGGGGAAATCATGGCAGGACCAACTGCCTTTTCCCTGGGTTTCCATGGATTTCCATCCCAGGGGTGTGGGTTTGAGCACATTGACCCGTGACCAGGCCAGCTGCCTTCCTGAAGGGTCATTTTCTCCCTCCTGCAATTATTTTTTGTATTAATAAGGGTTGATTCCTTCAGCTTTGTTGCTTCTTCTATCCCGAGGGAGGAAAGCTGGGAAGAGGTAATTAGAGGATGTGGAATGCAGCAGTGGATCCCAGCTGTCCTGAGTCTCTGTTCCTGATAAAAGATGGAATTGTGAGGGATTTTTCTTCCCGTGATTTGGGTTTTCCATCAGCTCAGGTGAAGAACAGGCGAGGAGCAGGAGCAAAGAGCCAAAATCTGGGAATCCCTCACTGGGATTGCAGCTGAAAGTTGCCCCTGGGAGCAGACATTTCCCAGGAGCCCTTTTTCCACCACCTGATGGAGCAGCTCCAGCCTTGGTTTGATACTGTTTTTCACTTGAATATGTTCCATTTGTTTTGCAAAATGACCTGCAGGGAAAAAAAAAAAATTAAAAAAAATCTGGATCAAAGCAGTGTGAAGTGAAATGTTTAAAAAATCCAGAAAAAACTGGAATATTTCAGTGCCTCGGGTTCACACCCTCCCCCTCTGTTGTTGTTTTCCCTCTGAGATGGGTGAGGATGATGAGATGGGAGTGGCTGAGGAGGGCTGGGAATGTTATCCAGCATTTCCCCAGCTGCCTGCTCTGGGTTCCTTTTGCTTCTCCCTGATCCCAATTCAGGAATGAACAAATAATTGGGAGAAACCCTCTTTGTTCCAGCTGAATCCTGTGGCAGATGGAGCCAGCCCATTTCCCTGCTCCACCTCACATTTCCCAATGGAATCAGAGGAAGGGAAGCCTATATTTATTTTTTTTAATCCCACCAAAAAATTGATGGGAATAAAGCCCCTTGGAGCCCTTCCCTCATCCCAAAAGCATCATCAACCCGAGCATGCCTCACTGTAGGAGCACAATGCCACAAACCCACAACCAATCCATGTTTTTCCTGGTTTTTTCCCAGCAATGCACGGCTGTTCCCAGGTTGTGGAGCTGCTCCTGGAACGGTAAGCAGGCTCCTTCCAGCTTTTTCTCCCCCAGCTCCCATTCCCTGCCAGCATTTGGACACAGAGGATGCTTGTGCTGCTCCACTGGGGAAGCACAGCCCAGCTGCCCTGCCCTCCCTCCCGAGGCTGGCTCCTCCTGCTCCAGGTTTTTCCCAGCTGGGAGAGAGACAAGGATTCCCTGGGGGTGGGCTCCCTCTTGGTTGTGACACAAATCCCAGTTATGTAACTCAGCCCTGGCTTTGTTTTCCCTGCTGATTCATTCCCAGTGTGACAACAGCCAAAGCAGCTTCTCTAGGCTGGGCTTATCCTTGTTTTCCCAGGAAATTGCTGGGAAGTGGCTTTAAATCAGCTCTGTTCCCTTTCTCTGTTCTCCCTTCCCTCCCCAGAGCTGGAGCTGATTCCCTGGGAATCACAGCTCATCCCAACCTGTCCATGTTTGGCCCAGCATAAACAGCTCTGAGATCTAAGCCAGGCTTTAATTCAGTTTTCTCTCATTTCACTGGAGTTCAACCTGAATGAGGTTGGTGGGCTCTTGATTTTGTACATCATTCCATGAAAATCAGATTATTCCCTGCTTCCAGTGCACACCTTGTCCCTTCTGGAAACCCTCTGGTCAGGAAAAAGGGAATTAAAAATTATCTGTAGAGCCCAAACGAGCTGAACCAGATCTCTGATCCAAAAAAAACCCCACAAATCATTCCCCAGGCCCTAAAACACCAGGACAGGTTTATCCATGGTCTGTGGACGAGCTTTATATATTCCATTTTCAATCCCAGCTGCTGAGAGTCTCCTTCCATAAGGATTTTGGAGTTGCCCACAGCTCTGTTGTGTTTTTTCTCTCTCATTTCCAGGTGCCAGTACAAACCTGACAGCAGGGACAGCTGTGGGGTCACTCCCTTCATGGATGCTCTCCAGAACGGGCACGTGGGCATCGCCCGGCTGCTCCTGGAGAAACACCAGGTGGGTGCCAGAATTCCTCACTGCCTGCTCCAGCAGCTGAGCCAGGGCTGCCAGGACAGGTGAGCCACCTGTTCATCGTGGCTGGAGCGTAAGGAAGCGAGTTCCCAAACTGTAAAGAGAGAAATTGTGTAAAAAGGCAAATTCCCCCTGGAGGAGAGAAGGATTTGGCTGAGTGAGGTGGGCAGGCATCATGGAATGGTTTGGGTTGGACCTTAAAACCATCTCCTTCCTTGGGTTGGAAGGACCTTAAAACCATCTCCTTCCTTGGGTTGGAAGGACCTTAAAAATCATCTCATTCCTTGGGTTGGAAGGTCCTTAAAACCATCTCCTTCCTTGGGTTGGAAGGACCTTAAAAATCATCTCGTTCCTTGGGTTTTGAGGACCTTAAAACCATCTCGTTCCTTGGGTTTTGAGGACCTTAAAACCATCTCCTTCCTTGGGTTGGAAGGACCTTAAAACCATCTCATTCCTTGGGTTTTGAGGACCTTAAAACCATCTCCTTCCTTGGGTTGGAAGGACCTTAAAAATCATCTCCTTCCTTGGCTTGGAAGGACCTTAAAAATCATCTCCTTCCTTGGGTTGGAAGGAGCTTAAAACCATCTCCTTCCTTGGCTTGGAAGGAGCTTAAAACCATCTCCTTCCTTGGGTTTTGAGGACCTTAAAACCATCTCATTCCTTGGCCTGGAAGGGCCTTAAAAACCATCTCCTTCCTTGGGTTTTGAGGACCTTAAAACCATCCCATTCCACCCCTGCCATGGGCAGGGACAGCTTCCATTATCCAAGGTGATTCCAAGCCCTGTCCAAACTGGCCTTGGACACTGCCAGGGATCCAGGGACAGCCCCAGCTTTTGTGGCAAACGTGTCCCCAGAGGTGCTGGAGTGGGACAGTGACAGCAGCAGTGGCAGGAGGGGACAGGACATTCCCAGCACTCCTGGGGCTGCTGTGGCAGAGCCAAAAGCAGCTCTTGGAATGCCCGGACTCAGCGTGGAGCCTCCAGTGGCCGTGGATAACATGGAAATGTCCATCCCTGAGTTATCCAGAGCTCCTCCCTCTCTCCTGGCAGCTCCTGCTCCTGTGCTGGCTCCCAAAAATCCCTGATTTCCTCCAGGGAATGCCATTAGAGCCCATTGTGCACAGCAGGAACCAGACCACTGCAATCAATAATTTACTGATGATTGATTGATTGATTGCTGGTTGGGGCCCTCTCATGGCTGATTCTCCCAGAGGTGTTGGTCAGATCCTGGATTTCCTAAGGAAAAGCAAATCCTGTTTTCTGGATGGGAAATTTGTTGTGGTTTTAACCTCACATTTCAGGCACTGAGGGTGGCAGAGGTGGGAAAGCTCGTGGAGGTTTCCTGGCAGTGCCAGTGCCTCCAGAGGGTGCTGATCTCATTTGGGGTGAGTGCCATTTCCATGGTGTTCCTTCCCTGCAGGCCTGTCCCACGGCCGTGGATGCCCTGGGTGCTCAGGCCCTGCACAGGGCAGCTGTGACAGCCCAGGATGGCTCCATCCAGTTCCTGGTGTCCGAGCTGGGCGTGGATGTCGACGGCAGAGCGACGTCGCTGCGGCTGCCAGCCCTGCACTACGCAGCCAAGGTTGGTCCCTGCTCCCAAATTCCCCTGGGGCAGCCTGTGCCAGGCACCTGAACCAGCCTGGGCCAGGTGTTTGCCACCACAGAGGATTTGCATTCCTGCCTCATCCTGTGCCCACCTGCTCCTGACCAGTCCCATTCCCTGTTTTCTGGGCGTCAAATGGAATGTGGGCAGCAGGGTGAGGGTGGGATTCTCCTCTGCTCTGCTCTGGTGAGATCCCACCTGCAGCACCAGATCCCAGCCCTGGAGCCAACAGCAGCAGGACCTGGAGCTGCTGGAGGAATCCATGGAGCTGCTCCAGGATTCTGCTCTGGAGCCAGCCTGGAAGAGCTGGGAATATTCCCCTGGAGAAGGGAAGGGTGCAGGGAGAGCTTCCAGCACATTCCAGGCCTGCAGGGGCTCCAGGAGAGCTGCAGAGGGACTGGGGACAAGGGACAGGAGCCAGGGAATGGCTGCCAGTACCAGAGGGCAGCCATGGATGGGATCTTGGCCATGAGGAATTGCTGGCTGGGCTGGAATTGCCAGAGCAGCTGGGGCTGCCCCTGATCCCTGCAGTGCCCAAGGCCAGGCTGGACACTTTGGGACACTGGGAGGTGTCCCTGCCATGGCAGGGGTGGCACTGGGTGGGCTCTGAGGTCCTTCCCACCCCAGGAATTCCATGTTTGTGTCCAGCTGCCTGCAGAGGAGGGACAGAACACGTGCAGAAGTGGGAAAGGAGAGCTGGGAAGGTGGGGGAAGCTCCCAGAATTTTATCTGTGTCCTTCACACCAGAGTTGTTTTGAATTCCAGAATCATTGGAGCTTTCTCCTCCTCCCAGACCATGTGGGGAGCAGAGCTCTGAGTCCTGCAACATTCCCTGGGAATGCAGAGCAGATCCCAAAGCTTCCCTGCTGACCAGGATCCCTCCTGGCATCCAGCTGGCAGCACAGGAATGTCCCTGCTCAGACCCAGGGATGTTAAACCCAGGATTTTAACAGCACTCTGAGCCTTGTAGTGGGAATTAAACCTCATCCCAGTGCTCTGCTCCTACAAACCCATCCGTGCCACTCCCTGGGAATGCTGGCACCATCCAGCCATGCCACAAAGGAGCCCTTTCTCCCATTTTCCTGGCCTCCTGCTCCCAGAAACCACGTTCAAAGCCCTTCTGGTTGCCAAGGGTACGTTGAACAGCAGGGCTCTGGGGGGAGTATAATGTGCCTTGGAGAAAATCCCAGCTCCTGGCTGATTTGGGAATGACTGGATGGGGTTCTCTCCCTTCCCTCCCTCAGTGTCACTTGGTATTTACAGCACCGTTTGTTTGCCTGGTGGGTTGTGTTTTTATCTCCCCCTTTTCTGATTCTTTTGCGTTTATAAACACATGAAAATCAAATTATTTTTTAAATTCACTTTGCTGCCGGGGCTGTGGCAGCTGCAGCAGTTCCTGGCTCGGTGTCTTTGCCATGGAATTTGGGTTTGCAGGGAAATGGGAGCCTTGGGATCAGGGAAGATGCTGTGGAATCCTATGGGAACAGGGAAAAATAGAGGATGTGGGGGGGATAAAAACAAGAGCTTTCCATTCCCAGGCTGCAGGACAAAGACTAATTCATGGCATTGAGGATGTAATTCCAAAATCAGGCGTGTTATTTAGGGAGAAAGGATTTAATTCTGGAAAAGCCTGTGCAGGGTGGAAGGAGGTGGGGGCTGTGCTGGGTTTTTCCCTGTGCAATTTGAAATTGGCTCCTGGCAGAGGAAGGAGCTGGGTCTTCTCCCAGGGGATCACAAATCCTGGAGGAATTCTTTGGGAAATACCAGTGCCTGAGGGAGGCAGGTGAGCAACAGCCTGGATCAGCAACAGGTTGTGCTCCTGGAGCTGGAATAACCCTGGAAAAATCAACTCCAGATCCCCTGGGAATTGGAGGGATTGGAAACTCAGAGTTGGAGAGACCTCAGGCCCTGCAGGGGCTCCAGGAGAGATCCCTGGGATAAGGGATGGAGGGACAGGAGCCAGGGAATGGCTGCCAGTGCCATGGATGGGATTTTGGGAATGAGGAATTGCTGGCTGGGCTGGAATTGCCAGAGCAGCTGGGGCTGCCCCTGATCCCTGCAGTGCCCAAGGAAGGGTTGGAGCAGCCTGGGACAGGGGAGGTGTCCCTGCCCGTGGCTGGGGTTGGAATTTGATGATTTTTAAGGATTTTTTCCAACCCAAACCATGCTGGGATTTTAGGAAGGTGCCTGGTGGCTCCTTTCTGACCAATTCCCATGGGATGGACACGATTCCCATGGGATGACAATTGCTGCCTCATGGATCTGCTCTGAAGGCAGCTGAGCCTGGTTCCATCTGCTCCCAGACCCTCTGGAGCTCCTGGAGCCCCCAGCCCTGCCCAGGACAGAGCAGGTCTGGGCAGTCCCAGGTTGGGGATGGATCCAAGCCCAGAGCTGATCCCAAACTCCACCTTCTGCAGGAAGGACATGGACACACCATCCTCACCCTGCTGTCCCTCGGTGCTGATCTCCAGGCCAAGGATGGGAAGGGCCGTTCTGGTGAGAATTCCAAGCTGCTTTTCCAAGCTTTTTGTGACACCAAGAGCTTCCATTGGCACATCCCAACCTCAGCATGCAGGGAGATGCCAAATCCATGGATACATTTGCTCTGGGAGCAGTGTGATGGATCATCCCAGGGGTTTTTTTGGGCATTTTGCATTCCCTGGCTTCCAATTTGCTGGAATTTCTGCTGGAGCTTTTCCCTTCTGGGAAAGAAAAGACCCAAACTGGGAATTTCCTGCTGGTTTTTCACCTGAGGAGCTCCATTGCTGCCTCTTCCCCCTCAAATTTAGCTGGAATGATCCTGTTGGAAGAAGGTTTGGATGGACAAACACAAGGATTGAGCTCTCCAGCCTCAATTCCTTAGCAAACAGCCTGGAAATGGCTGATGAGCAAATAATACCAGAGAGCTGGCACGGAAATGGAGTTGCTATAGCAATGCCAGAGAGTCAGCATTCCCAGTGGGAAAGGCAGCTCTTACATCAGCATCTCCCAAAAAAAAATTAAAATTAAAAAAAAAAGAGACAAATTTGATTCAGCCATTGCCAAAACTGGCAGGTTTCCCAGCCCTGGGGTTTGGTTAAATCCATGTTTCAGCAGTGCCATCTCTCCCTCCGCCCCCTCGGTGACTAAATCCCAGCTCTGCTGAGCTCATCCAACCCCGGGATGGTTTTTCCTGTGGCTCCTCCTTGGCTGGGTTGGGGTCACTGCGTCCTTGGGAAGCTTCTCATCCACACCAGGATTATCCAGAGGGATCAGGATGCCTCCTTTGGATCAGAGGGAAGGGAGATTTTTTACAGTGAGGGTGGGAGAGGTTGGGCTGGATTCCCAGAGCAGCTGGGGGTGCCCCTGGATCCCTGGCAGTGCCCAAGGCCGGGCTGGGCACCAGGCTTGGAGCAGCCTGGGATGGTGGAGTGTCCCTGAGTCCCTTCCATGGCAGGAGGGTGGCACTGGCTAACCCTTAATATCACAGAATCACAGAATTTCTAGGTTGGAAGAGACCTTCAAGATCATCGAGTCCAACCCATGCTATCCTATTCCTCAACTAGGTCATGGCACCAAGTGCCACATCCAGTCTTTTTTAAACACATCCAGGGATGGTGACTCCACCACCTCCCTGGGCAGGTGATTCCAGTGTTTGACCACTGTTTCTGTGAAAAACTCCCTCCTTAGGTCTAATAAATCACACTCAACGATCCCAAACTTAACCCCGCAATCCCCTCCCAACCCAAAAACCCAAACCCCTCCATAATCCCACCCTGGCAAAACTCATTTTTCACCCGTTTATTCCATGGGAATGCTGTTTTCCTGGAAACCAGGGTGATCTGAGGCCAGCTGCTGTTGTGTCCCCCAGCCCTGCACGTGGCCAGCGCCGGGCAGCGCGCGGCGGCCGCTGCCATCCTGCTCCAGGCTGGCCTCCAGGATGCTCCTGATGCCACGGGGACGCTGGCCCAGCAGCTGGCCACCAGGCCTGAGGTCCTCCAGGTCTTCAGGGAGCAGCAGGCAGCACGTGAGCAACAGGAACCTGCTCCTCCACGTGGGTATTCCTTCCTGGATTGAGGGAAACGGCTGATTGAGATCCCCGAAGTGAGGAGCCTCTTGAAATTAAGGATCCCACAAATAGGGGATTTGCCCCTAAAAGACAACCCTCATTAGTGTTTCCCACTAATGGAGAGGAGCGCTCCCAAAAATTAAGAAATCCCCCAAAGAGAGGATCCTCCCCTAAATTGAGGAAACCCCGACCCCCAAAACAGAGGATTCTCCCCTAAAACGAGGAAAAACCCCTAAATTGAGGAAACCCCGACCCCCAAAACAGAGGATTCTCCCCTAAAACGAGGAAAAACCCCTCAATTGAGTAAATCCCAACCCCCCAATAGAGGATCCTGCGGTAAATTGAGGAAATCCCAACCCCCAAATAGAGGATCCTCCCCTAAATTGAGGAAACCCCGACCCCCAAAACAGAGGATTCTCCCCTAAAACGAGGAAAAACCCCTCAATTGAGTAAATCCCAACCCCCCAATAGAGGATCCTGCGGTAAATTGAGGAAATCCCAACCCCCAAATAGAGGATCCTCCCCTAAATTGAGGAAACCCCGACCCCCAAAACAGAGGATTCTCCCCTAAAACGAGGAAAAACCCCTAAATTGAGGAAACCCCAACCCCCTAAATGGAGGATCCTCCCCTAAATTGAGGAAAAGCCCCTAAATTGAGGAAACCCTGACCCCCAAAACAGAGGATCCTCCCCTAAATTGAGGAAAAACCCCTAAACTGAGGAAAAAACCCTAAATTGATAAAACCCCAACCCCCCAAATAGAGGATCCTGCCCTAAATTGAGGAAAAACACCTAAATTGAGGAAACCCCGACCCTCAAAACAGATGATCCTCCCCTAAATTGAGGAAAAACCCCTAAATTGAGGAAATCCCAACCCCCAAAACAGAGGATCCTCCCCTAAATGAGGAAACCCTGACCCCCTAACTGGGGGATCCCCCCCCAGACTGAAAACTCCCCCAAACCTAGGTCTGTCCCCAAATAAAGAACCCCCCACAAACCAAAGATTTTTACCCAAAATCGAGCAGAGGAGTCAAGCTTGGCACTTGGGAGAAATGCTTTAAACAGGATTATCTCAAAATAAAATGGAGGTGATGGGCCTGGGCTCTTCCCTGGCAGGGTGGGGAGGCCCTGGCACAGATTTCCCAAAAAAGTTGGGGCTGCTCCATCCCTGGAAGTGTCCAGGGCCAGGCTGGAGCAGCCTGGGATCGTGGAATGAGGTCCCTGCCCACCCTAATTATCACATTATAAATTTATTTTCTTCTTTCACCTCTTCTGTGCAGCTCCCTGAACCAGAACCATCCAAGGGAAATTCTACTGCCAGGGATCCTCGTGGCTTTTCCTGGGAATTTCCTGAACATCCCCATGGAGAAGATCCACCTGGATCATGGATTTTGCAGCTCTTCAGGGACCACTAAATTGGTTTAATTTTCAATTTAATTTTCATTTGACATCTTTGGGTGGGACAGAGACTCTTGAAGCTGCATCAACCTCTTGAATCCTTTTTGTAGCCCACCCTAAACTGAGGAACCCCCAAACTGCGGACTCGCCCAAATTAAGAACCCCCTAAATGAGTGTCCCCTAAACTGAAGTCCCCCCCCCAAGTAAGTAAAGGACCCCCCCAAACTGAAGAACCCCATAAATTGAGGAGAACCCCCAAATTTAGGGACCCCCCCCATTTAAAGGCTCCCCCTGCGCAGCCGGGGCGGCCGTGGGACTGCGCATGCGCGCCGCGCCCCCACCACGGTGGCAGCGCCGCTCGCGCGCGCACTGCTCCCGCCCCTTGAGTGGCACCCCCGACAGCCAATGGCGCGGCGCGTCGGGCTGTGATTGGCAGACACGTGGGCGGGGCGCAGGCGGCCCGGCCCCGCCCCTCCCGGCGCGGTCCCCTCACGGCGGCGGCTCCATTTTCTCGCGCTCCCGCGGCCCCCGCGTAGCGCCCGGTTCCGCTCAGCCCCGGCCGAGAGACCCCCGAGACACCGCGCGCCGCCATGAATGAGGAGTACGACGTGATCGTGCTGGGCACCGGCCTCACGGTGAGGAGCAGCCGCCGCCCCGCTCGCGCCTCGGGCCTGCTGCGGGCGGCCGCCGCCCTGCCCCGCCCCGCCGCCCCCCCTCCGCCATCCCCCGGCTCCTGCGGCTGACCCCCTTCCCCATCTCTCACCCAGCCCGGCGCCGCTGTCCTTTGCCCGTGTATCATCTGATCCTCCCCTCCGGGCTGTGTTTGAGCCCCCCCGCCTCGGGCGCTCGGGTCTCTATCCCCTCCCCCAGGCTGTGCGGTCCCCTCCCCAGGCTCTCACCTGATTCTCACCCCACTCGCCCCATTCAGGTTGCTTTCTTCACCTGTCACCTGTCCATCGTACCCCCCCTGGCTCTGTCTGGGTGCTTCCCCCCGTCCCCCTCCCCATTATTACCGGGGGTCTGGTGTATGTGACCCCCTGCAGGACCCCCTGGGTGCTCTCCCTCATCATTAATTACCACAGCACCCCCTCGGCTTCATTCCCACCCCCACCCTGGCTCCTTTCCCATTCATCTCCCTCCGCCCCTCAGCATTACCCCGGGGTTCGGTATGTGTGACCCCCCCACCCCCGGGGGACCCCTGGCTCATTTCCCCATCATTAATTCCCGCTGCACCCCGCAGCTCCAGCCCCATCCCCGCCCGGGATCCTTCTCCCCATCCCTAACTGGACCCCCGGGTGGGGTTTTTATATGATTTTTGTGTATATTTTACAACAGCTCCCCGCGTTTGGATAAACCCCCGTGGCCGCTCCCCGCCGTTCCCAGGGGGCCCCAGGAAATGCGGTTGTTTTGCGGAGGGAGGGCGTGGGGAGACTCGGACAATAAAACGCCGACGGGCATTTATTGCCTTTTATTTATTTTTTAAATTACTACCTTATTTTTTTCCGTTCACACATCCCTTCCCCCGCTCCCCCACAGACCCAGCGTGGCTGCAGGTCCGTGCAGGGTGGAGGCAGCCGTGGTGATCCCCCCCCTCTCCATCCCCATCCCCGCTCCGCCTTTGCAGCCTTCGGCTCCATCCAGCCCTGACTGCAGCAGGAGGGGGATGGGAGGCTGGCGAGCCTGTCAAATTTCCCTTATTCCCCCCTCCAAAAAAAAAACCCCAACCCTTTCCTGCGATGTGGCTGCATCCCGGTGATCCCTAAGGAGAGCTGACAGCTGCTGGGGGTGCGGCGGAGGGAGGGAGACGAGCCGCGGTGGGGCTTTGTCCTATTGTGGAGGATGCAGCCGCGCTGCAGGCAGCCCTGGGGGAAAAAACATGGCAGTGCCGCTGCCCCCGAGGTTTGCGGGAGGATTTCTCCCGGTTCCTGCATCCCTGGGGGCCGGGAGATGCCACGGGAGGGCGGATTGCAGGTTACAAACGCGAGGCATTGTTTGGAGAAGGGGGGAAGAAAATCCAACATGGTGGAGAGGTTTTCCTCCTTGTGCAGCTGGCCTTTCCTGCTTTTGTTCCCTCCTCTCGGTGGGGAAAGGTGGCTGGACAAAGGTTTCTCTTTGGGGTTGGCCCGAGAGGGATTTCCCCCACTTTCCCTGGGGATGGGGATTAAATTGAAATCCACGGATTTCCCCCCGTGGTTTGGGTGCTGTGATTGGTGGGGTGCTGACACAGGGCCCCAGCTGGATTGTCATCCCCCTCTTTTGGGTTTGGGGAGAAGGGTAACACACCTGGAATGTGGCACAAAGGAAATGTGGCAGGTGTGGGAGCGTCTGCTCGGGGGACACCCAACTTTCCCCATTGCTTTCATTCCTTTCAAGCTCTTCCTTTGAGGTGGAGGAATGGCTTAGCAGGAAAAAGCTTCTTCCCTTTGATAGGGAAAGCTGGAGTCTGTCCTGAAGCCTGTCCCTGGCTCAGCAAAGCAGGGAAAGGGACTTTTGGGGAGGTGAAATATAATGAGCTTGTAGTGGAGGGGCCTCCAATAGATCGGAGCTCCATTAAAATGTTAATTTATGCTTTAGTGTGAGCGGGGTATCAAGTTGGTGAACGCAGGGCTTAATCTCAAACTGACAAATGCCAGTGTAAATTTGACAAAAGGCCTCTTGTGAAATCACTTTTAAGACAAGCTCCTGCTAATGAGCAGCGGTTGAGTTAAAAGGAATAAATTAGGGCCGTGTTTTAAGGTGTGCTGACCAAACTCCAGAGCCTGGGAATATGCAGGAGCTCGTATTTTGCTTCTGGTGTGCTGGCTGTGCCTCTGAAATACCAATTAGGACGGACTTCGTCTTGTCTTGAGCAGCTCATGTGGAAAGGAATGGAAACCAGAGGTGCTGGTGCAGCCATCCTGGAATTCCTGGTGTTGGCTCAGCCATTGTGGCTGAGTAGAGCTGGATCAGCTGGGCTGAAGGACTCTCCTGCTCTCAGGTGAAGCTTGAAGGTTGCTCCTCCAGCTTTGGTACCAGTGGAAAAGGAGCCTGGTACCTGTGGTACGTGAGGAGAAGGAGCTGGAAACACATCCAGTTGTTCCTTTCCTTTTCCAAAGGAGCTGTCCCTGAGGTTCTGGTGGTGTTTGCAACCACCCTTTCCTTCAGGCTGGGCTGGATGCCACTGCTGGAGCCCCTCAGGCCCCTGTTGTAGCTCTGAGGTTGTGTCTCTGCTGCTGATCTGAAGGGGTTTTTTTCTTTTTCCAAAGGGAAAGTTCAGTTGTTGGTTTAAAGAGGAAGAATGAGCTGTTGGAGGCTTTGTAAAGAGCACAAATGCATCCATTGTAGTGGTCGTTCTGGCTGGGTCCGTGGGGCCAGTGAGTGCACGTGTAAATTCCACTGGGATGGATCTGGAAGTGCAACATGAACATTTCAGGTGTTAATCTCTTCCTCAGCACTCATGAAGGACTGAAGGCAGCTTGAGGACCGGGATTACTGGCACTCAAACTATTTCAGCTTTTCCCTTCTGTGTGCTAATCAGAGACCCCATTGCAGTGTGTCTTAGCCCTGTGGGGAAAAATAAATCCTGAATTGCTGCTGATACAATCCCTCAGATTTCCACCAGCTGTAGTGGGCTCCGTGGCTCCTGCACGGATCAGTGTGCGGTGCCAGACCCACCAGGGGCTGCATGAGAGCTGGTAGATCTTCCAGCTGCCTCATTCCTGGTGGGAATGGCTTCTCCAGGGTGCAGGAGCTTTAATAGCTTTAAGTGCCTTGTCTTAGGCTTTCCGTGTGCGTGGTGTGTGGCAGATTAGGGATCATCTTCCTGCAGCCCTACTGCACAGACTCGTTTTTAATCTGTGCAGTGGTCACAGGCTGGAGAGCTCCTCGTGGCTGGATTTCCACCCCTCTCTTTTCAGTGCACCGGAATTTCCCAGCTCTCTGTAATTTCCACCTCTCTGCTGTGGGAGTGGCTCGGTACTTCCTCGCTGGGTTATTTCAGAGTGGGATGTTGTGCCTGGTGACAGGCTCTGTTATCTGCCTTCCCTGCTTCTCTAAAGTTATTTTCCATAAATTTTGGGGATAATTGAAGCCTCCAGTTGAGCCCCAGTAGGTGAATGCTCTCTGTTCCTGCTGAGGTTTCACTTTTTGCAGGCTGAGCTAAGCTTCTTACCTGCCAGCTGCCTCCCCATGTTAAAGCTACTCAAATGCATCCCAAAGATACAGATTCACTTTCTGTAGGAGCAGAGGAGCCAAAGTCACTGATTCAGGATATATTTAACCATGGCCTCATGGGCTGAAGAGCCTCAGAGTGACTGTGAGGACCATGTGGGAGCTTTGCTGCAGGGGACACACAACTTGCCCAGTTGTTTTCATTCCTTTCAAGCTCTTCCTTTGAAGTGGAGGATGGCTTAGGAGGAAAAAGCTTCTTCCCTTTGATAGGGAAAGCTGGAGTCTGTCCTTTGCATGTAGCAGAGGGCATCATTGCAGTGCAGTGAGGAGTTGCTTTGGCAGTTGCAGGATGAGCAGAGCTTTGGGTCAGGCAGTGAGGGGTGGAATTGCCTGTGCACTGCTCCAGGTGACCCTGCCTGGGTTGGAGCAAGGATCTCCAGATCTTCCAAGCCCAGCACTGTGTGACCCTCTGGCCACAGCAAGCCCTGCCTTTCAAAGAAAGAGCCTGGCGGTGCCAGAGCCCGTTCCCTCCGCCGGAGGGATTTTGCTCAGTGCTCAGTGCCCAATCCTCCCCTCGGCGCCGTTACAGGAGCGCCGCTGGCTCGACTTCCCACCGGGCTGTCTGAGCCTTTCTGAACTGCTGCCCTACTTGGAGAAAATCCACGGACACCTCCTTGCTTCCCTCCATTCCTCAAGGCCTCTGCACGCACAAGGTCTGGTCGTGACCAGCTCCTGCGCTCCAGAGAGGAGCTGGTGGCCTTGAGCAAGCATGGAAGCACCAATACCTCCAAGTTACTCCTTATTTTTATTTCCATGGACTCCCAGTGGATGTGCTGTCCTGAAGATAGGCTGGTTTCTCCCTGCTTGCCTGGCCATTTGCAGCAAGGTGCTCAGATGTTCATTCAGCAGCACAGTGAGCTCCTGGGAGCTCGGAACCTGAACTGGCTGAGGCAGAGCATT